ATATGGTCCTGTGGAGAGATGTTCAAGATCTTTATTGATATGATCTTTTTTATTCATAACCACCGTTGTTTACCTTTGTGAGCTATTGTGATTGTAATAGATTTGTCCTTCTGAAGCAAATGTAGAGCCTTTAATTCTTCATTATTATTCACAAATATCTTATGGGTACATAAGTGATGTGAAGGAACCATCTCAAGTTTCGTCCAAAATGCAATAGTACACAAGTTTCAGTAATCTTAACATTACATTTGCCATATTTGCAAAAGAGCAGGAGAAAAAGATAATGATAACAGAATAATAATAAATCAGGTTCTGTATAATTGAGAAGAATAATGAGTTGACTTTAGAGATTAAAAGGGCGTTATAGTGTTTTTAGTCAAAATATGGGATGTCTTTTGACGTAATAAATGCGACTCTTTTTCCTGTAGTTGTGCGATTATTGGTTCCAATTTGTGAAGTTAAACCTCAGTAATGATACCTATAGGTTACAAGTGTATTTGGAATTGTGAAATAATGGTTTGTAGAATTATGGTCTACTTCGATATTAGTACTGCTCTAATAATAGACCTAATCCTAAGCTACTAGATTTGTCATGATTTAACTGCCTATTCTATCAGATTTTATGTGGAAGTCACATTATTATCCACACCAACTCATTCCATCGTAACAATCACCAATATATGATGGAGAACAAGCTTAGGCTAGAAACAGAACATTATATTTAATATGAATGAAAGATAAGGTAACATTCAACAGGAACCACGCCTGCAAGGCTGAGCCATGCAATCCGATCAACTCAAATTAATTAAATTCCTTGTTCCCATCCTCCCCATCGTCGGTTTTTTCTCCCCGTTAGATGTTGAACAACTTTTTCCCCAATTGTCTCGTGTTCAGCTTTGATGATTGTGTGGTCAGGGCTCAATGTCACTACAGGTTAAATAATAATAACATTAGTGGTGACACTAGTATATGTGTATAAATAAAAAGGACAGTAACATTTAAATTAGAAAGTATGGATATACTGGCCAATTTAAGCCATTCTGTAATTAATACTTCTACTGGGAAATGGGCCCTTATATTGGCCAAGGTAACAAAAGGCCTTGATCGTACTTTCTTTTTGCATACTGTCGTGACCTCTAAATTTGAGTACTTGCTTTTACAGTTGGGAGAACTTTGAGTCCTCCAGACTTTGGCAGAAAGTTACTAACCCGGTAAAACACTGAGAGTGATTGAGTTTTGCTGTCGCTATAACCATTGTGAAATAGATGGGCTAGTATTGAGCCAAATAAGATTATGACTATGCCCTTGGTTAGTCACGCTAGGTGTTTACGTGAGTGAAAATGTCGGTTCCTTGAACACTGATCTGTGTTGTTTGCTCGAGAAAATTAGTCGAATTTAATGGTTTGAAACGAGGTGGCCATTCAAGGTAATTCGTTTTTTAGCCTTGGAGTGCATAGGAAATTCAGTGATGAATTTTTTAAAAATTATTTTACTTAATCAATAGATTACTATTTCACTGGCTGGATCACCTTTGAAGTGTATGCGCATGGACGGTGTTTATAATTTTATTCCCAAATGCGTGGTTACATGAGCTTGTGTACTTGGTAGGGTATCGGTTATCTTATCGGTAAATAAAATTTCAAAATGAATATTTCTGTAAGGCTGACCACGTTAGTTCTACAAGACATGCCCTAAATGAAGGCACTCGGTCATGCATCCGCGCCAGATCACGGGTGGGTATTTCGAGCCACTCATCCGTTGCAAATACTAGCAAACTTGGATCAATCGCTTCTCGACATATCGGTAAGCCTCCAAATGAATTTTCAGCTTTATTCATTCCTGACTTCTGATTTGACTGGGTTGGTGTGTTTCCATCACAAAGGTGTTACGCGCAAAACATTTTCAAACCTCGAATGCCTATGGCAACTTTAGTGGTGAGCCCGATGTGATCAGGCACAATAAACAGTAAACTGTAAGTCTGTTCTTTGTCGGAACATTCTGTATCATTTTTTAGTTTTCGGTTTTACATATTGTGATAATTTTTGGATATTGTTTCCTCGGTTATTGGTATATTTCATATTCATCATGACAGAACAGTCACCTCATCTATCTGTAAGATCCAAACTACGGTTTGGAGTGAAGGACAGCTGTCTGGATGAGTTAGATACGCGCCCTCGCCCGATTGAAACCAAAACAAAGTAATTGGGTAAGATGACGGTTCTATAATTTATCATAAATTTAAGTGTACATTATTACCTAAACAAATATAACCACTCAGCTATCCAACCAATAATTGTTCAATTGATGAAATCTAAACTACAATAAATAAGAAAGTTGATAAAGGATGCAAGAAAATTACCAATCACCACAAATAAATGTTATTCTATCCTGTCTGGATAGATCACGTACAGATTCGTTCAAAAGGTAATAATTGGTCGCTCTATAACACAGAGTGATTTCAATTCTGGAAGAGTGCTTCAATTCACATCCAAAATGCACAATTCCAGTCAACACAGGTCAAGCAATCAAAAGCAGGGACAAACCAAAATGGCTGCCGCCCAGACTTAGTATAAAGTAAAACAACATAAGTGTAGTTCGGGAAGAAACATGGGGAATTAGTGAAGGTGTAGTAAAAACGAAAACTATAATAAAACACAAATATTAACAATTCAAATGTAGCCAAAAAGTTAACAATGTACAACTAAGAGGATCAATAGGAACAAAATGTAAGTATATACATGGAGGGATTTTCACAAACACACAAAGCATTCCAAATGGATTTTACACTATCTAAGATTGAGAATCTTTTGCCTCCCACCCTTTTGCTCATTCCATTCTGGAAGAACAATATGAAAGCCTGGTTCTGCTACTCGGAAACTGACGTTTAGGAGTACGGTGCGACAGTCACGTGCGCAATTTGTCGCAGTAGTGATGGCGGTACAATTCTAATTCACCAGGTACGACACACCTAGTATGCTTACATGTGGTCTCGAAACCTTCTAAAACTTGAGAATAGACCATCTCTATACGCGGGACATAATCGACTAACAAAGTTTGTATCAACTACTCCACACCATCGAGCTTAGCCACAGAAATGTTGCTCCCTATGCGAGAAGTCATCAGTCAACGGACCTTGGACGAGTGCCTATTTAGATAACACTTCTTGTTTACGCTTCCTTGACAGGTGCAGGCAGTCCTTGTATATTTTCAAATCAAGGTTGTAGATGAACCAACTGCACCTGGTAATTGGGTTCTGGAGATCGCCAGAATTCCGGCGCTTTTTATTCTATCCAAGAAAAGCTTCAAACAACACAAAAATGAAGTCGCAAACCTTTGTCACACGATATTCGCCGTAATGTCAGACGCTCTCAAACTCGTCGAAGAAATGTGTCACAATAAATATCTGTTTCTAGACACGGAGAGACAAATAATCTTGATTGGTGTTGGTTCCACAATAAACACGGTAAGTCCTCTTCAAATTGAGGAAAATCCTCAAATTTCTTGACTTCCTAGTCGTCTGACACAAAAAAGCTTCTGGAAAACTTATAGGGGTATTGGGCCCTAACCATACTATACTCAAAACTGAACACAAGATAACTGGGAAAATAGATCTTCAACATTTAACGCGGATATAAGACCAACAGTGAAGGCGAGGAGAATTAATTCAATTCAGTCAGATGACATGGTTCAGCCTTGAAGTTTTGGTTATTCTATATAACTTGTCTTTACTCACATTATAAATATTATTCTATACTCATTCTAAATGTGTTCTTTAAAAACACACTGATGCGACTTTCACGTAAGGTCTCATAGGTTAGGCTTTCACATCATGACATATCAACAATAATGCAGTAGACCACAATTCTACAAAATTGCCCACCGGCACGCGTTAAAGGTAAGCGTTACTGAAGTACATAGCTGTCTGTTATACATCACGTATATGATAACGAAAGGTCTCTATCTTGTCGACAGCACCGCAGAAGTAAGCGTTCTTCTCGCGAATTCTATCGACCGTCTGCATGCAATAGTCTCGACTTACAGGCGACAAACGGGAAACCAATTGTCACGTAGGATAAGATATATATTCATCTTATCGTGGGTTTACAGAAATCCGTTCACTAGATGTTTTTCTTACCATTCGCCGGCAAAGACATGTTACAACACCACATTCTACTCGTCGAACCGAGTAGATGGGGGTTAATAGACAGGAATACGAAGTTATCTGTTTGTGTGACATGATTTTCGAATTGTAGATTATCCGCGGTTATGCATGAAATCGATCCGTACATTCAACGTAAACTAAACAAGTACCTCGAACTTACGAAAGGCGACTAAAATCAGAGTGCGTCACCCGCAGCGTTACACACCACATCACGACTCCAGGACTACTTGGACTATTAAAAGTTCCCCATTAGCTCTAAAAAACTGAGGTTGGCCGAAAACGAATTAGACAACATAAAAGATTTGGGAAATATTCGATTAACAAACGGCTCATGGGTATCTTCCTTGCACACGACCTTATAAAAGGACGGAGACTATTGACTTCGGGCTTGAGACTATTGTTAACTTAGTGGGAAAACCACTCCTGATCGCTGCTCTGTCCCCGACATACATGAACTAATCGGTAGCTTAAAAGATACAACTGCTTTCTCGAAAATCGATAAAAAAAAGATGGACCCCAGCACTTTGATTCGAAATCCCACCTTTCTTCTTCTTGTTTCTCTTTTCTTTGCACATAATGGATGTTTTCGGATTCATTATCAGACCTTAGATTACTACTCAAATTACGAGCAAAATATGTATACAAAATCAGTGAAAATGTTAAAACCCTCACTAGAATGGCGCTTCATTGGTAATTTGTGTTTTCGAAAAGCATTGTGAATAATGGTTTCTTGGAGTTTATGTATCACGAATACTTATTTTATTTTGTTTGAACTCTTGGATTCAGAATATTTTGGCTGCGCTACTATTTCAGTTTCTAATCGGATTTCGTCACGAATATGAATAACAGGCGTAGTTCATCGTTTAAAGAAATAAGTATAGTTCAAGATGCAAAAAATCTAAGGGATTCATTTAACAGAAACTTACATTTTTACGTCGTCAAAGATCGTAACATTGCTACAATGCGTGATTTTTATGTTGCTCTGGCTAGGACTGTCTGGGAACAATTATGTTCTCGTTGGATAAAAACACAGGAAGTTTATGCCACAGAAGATCCAAAAGTAAGATTGTCTTTGCATGTGTTTGTTCATGCGCTTATTCTGTCAAGCTATCTAGATATGTTGTCGAGTAAGGATGCATATGCGAGAATATCAATAGACAAATACTCTCGTATCATGTGATGATTCAGTAGTCATTTCTACCTAGTTCTTTGAGTTCAAACTTATGTAACGATTCAATATATTTTTTACCAAAAAACTGAAGCAGTTTATCAGTCATCAATAATTTAGCCTAGTGAGGATTTTCAGGATCGTATTTTTGATAGTTGTTTGGTAAAACATCATATGTACGAATCAAAGTGTGTAGCTGTGTTATATTTGAAAATACTGTTTGTGAAAAGATTGAATGGGTAGTGAAGGCGCGACACGTGTTTCTGAATTTCAGAATAAAATAGTATTAGCTTTGTAAGGAATGTGTTTTACTAGCATCCAAACATTCTCACCAAGTGGACTCAGAAGTTGGAGCTACAATGCATATTTTTTCTCTTAACTCATTTTTAGTGTGTCGGTAAGTGTGACTTAACTTACTAGTATTGAGAGTGGGATATGTTTTTCAACACTTCAGGCTGGTCGGCGGTCTATGCTCCACTGGGAGTAACAGGCTCAATTTCTTACTACTAAGTTCAGACAAACAAATCTACTATTCTGGTCAATAAATAATTAACTCCACCCCAGATACATCTAGCTTCCTCTTTTGTATATTATTATTAGAGTGAATCTTTAATTTGTTTTAACTAACAAACTCTTGTAAATAGTATTTATATAATTCACTTAGCTTTTCAGATTTGTGTAGTAAGGACAGAAGGCCTACGCCCCATGTTATTTCTTTTCTAGTATGCTTCTGTGAGTGTCCAGTCTTCTCTTGAAAGAGTCGGTTGAAGGTGCGGACACCATTTCTTCGGGTAGCAGGTCCCAAATATTGATGACTCGGTGTGTAGTAAGGACAGAAGACCTATAGTCTATGTTATTTCTTTCTTAGTATGCTTCCATGAGCGTCTGATTTTCTTGAATGAGTCATTTAAATGTGCAGACACCACTGGTTTGGCTAATAGGTCCCAAGAATTGATGATTCGGTATAAAAACCTGTATGACACGGGTATTTTGCTCGTTCTTGGCTTTTCTACTCGCCTGTTGTATCCTTTGATATGTCCAGATCTTGCGGGAAGAGGAAAAGAGGATATATTAGGTCCAAATTCATTTCTTAGTATCCTATACATCAGAATCAGATCACCTGTTAATCTGCAGTATGACAGAGTAAAGAGGTCTAACTTCCCAAGTCACTCATTGTATGGCAAACTCCTAGGTTCCAGAATTGCACGCGTAGCTACCTTCGGTACTTTTTTTAAGATATCCGAGTCACCTGTTAAACAGGGGCTTGCAGCCTAAACGCAGTTCTCAAGTTTAGTTCTCATTAAGGTTGTGTATACTGTAATGAACGTGGTAGTATCTAACTTGGTGAATGTCCGTCTTGAACTCTATTGGGTTCTAAACCCCTTAGCTGCAACGTCGTATCAGTGGACCGTGGTCTTAAAATGTATGACTCACTGTAACCTCAAGAGACCAGACCACGGGTACAGGCTCGTAAGTAAACTGGAAATGACCAGTTTTCCTCCTGGGGATTATCAAGTTAACCTAAATTATGTGTAGGGCACAAACTTGCTTAGCAGTTATGTCAAAGAAATGGACCTTTTTAATACTATACCAAATATGAAGCATAATATACTTTGAAACGACCCTACGCAATGCGTCTAATCCATTACTTTGGACGTGTTTCTGTATTTACCCCTTACTTAAATTCAAAGAGAAATGTAAATGACCGCATTCTTAAAAGCTTTTCACCACCAGCATACGATTCCTGGATATCGTGCAGGCAAGACGTCTGTTTTGTTATCAAGAGGCGAGTGTGCCTCACTGCAGTTTACTTTGTTTCACTTCATGATTCTGAAATATGGTGTTTTAGTCGGTCAATCGCATGTACCTTGATCCGATATGTCACAGAACATTAGCATACCAAGATGAAATTACTAAATTGAATAGCTAAGGAATCTAAATAATGCGGAAGGTTTGACGATATTAAAGACTAAAAACTGAGCACCTGGTTCCAAAAAAGAAAATGAAAAAAACATTTGTTCAGGAATTCGTGATTTTGAGGTCTAGGGAAAGGTAAAAGGTGAATTTATCTGTACCATTTTTAGCTGATTCCCAATCATGTCACATAACACCAACAACGGATCGCGCTGACCCCAGCCAAGTGTTTTGGATCTACCAACATGACTCTGTAGTGTGGCGTCGAGTCGCGGTTGACTATGATCACCACTACAAAAAGATTACGTACCAGTTAACCGATAGGATCCCCCGTAGGTCAAATATCAGAAGGCAGTAGATGGCTGTAGTCGAGATGTATTTGTTGGCGATCTCGTGGTATCGAAAGAATACCGAAATCATGCCAGGTTACAAGTGTAGTTACTGAGTGTAACCGGATTCGTTCAAGGTCACAATCAACAGAAAAATGTATGTATTTTGGCACACTTAAACAAACAAGTACGGTAAAACAATCCCTAGTACAATTGGTTATAATAATAATTGTTTCTATTACACCAATCGCGTTCTCTTGATAAAATTAGGTCACCACAACTCTGCCAACGTTTAATGGACTCATATACTCATGGCATATTTTATTTTCGACACTACTAGGGATTAAATAAATTACTCATACACCAGCAAACACCGCCCTTTGAGGTAGGCAATGGTTGGTCATATGTAATACATGTTCCGACCATCTCTGTTGACGAATAATCATGACCTCACCAACTGATCCGCTATTTTCATCTCTTACCATAATTGTGGGTAATGCTTCAAAAACATGCATCTTATGCATGTCCTCTACTTTCACACCCCATGTTTTACAGTCACAAAATAGTACGGAAAGGCCTTGATCTCACTATACTAGCCCGTTTTTTGGCAGACGGGCATCTCATGTACATCAAAAGTAACGTAATTTGACAGAATACAAACAGGCTTTCTGAATCTGCATCAAGATCCTAACTAGGATAGTAATAGGTCTGAAAAACTCTAGAGGTGGGGAGATTAAGACCATTTCGGTTGATCGTGTAACTGACTTAGTCTGGGCCGTCTCAGTGGTAGTATACTCCCTAGTTACAATCTGTTTGAGGGCTTGTGGTTAAAAACTGGTAATATGGAACGGCATCAACCTCAATACCACAGTTACATTCATTCTTCGTCTTCTTATAAATTGCAAGTTTATTGTCATTTGACACTTCATCGTTTGATTTTATTTGTCCCTTTTAAACTAAATATTTGTGTTTAGTTTTTGTTGCAGTGAAACTTGTTTTCTCTACTCTGTTTTTAATCTTGTTAATCTTCCATTAAGCTAATCCAGGGTGTGGAAGCTTGGATCAACACATATTTATTCCAGCTCATAAGCTTACGATAACTAACTAGATACTCTCATTGTTTAAGCGATTTGTGTAAGTTAAGAATGTCTGAGAAACTTGGAAACTAGGATGTACTTCATTGATAATTTTGGAAAAATTACAAGTTAAGGAATTCCATATATCCATTAAGATATGGTCAGGCCTAATTAAAGAATACAATATTTTGATACGAAATTATACATGCTGAATAATCTTATGTAACTGAGATATTAACAGTTTTGAGTTACTATGAATGAAATACGGTTTGACCGTTCACATACGTTATGACAAATGTCCATATTTTAGTATTAGTGAATTCATAGGTTTTTATTTTATACAATTAAACGTTTCTAATCATCATTCAGCGAACAACATGATCATGTGGATACAATCATTAAATTATAACTGGTACAGGAAGTTAGTGTTGATGTGTTAGTTCAGTAACAAATGCATATTATGCAAAATGAGTGTGAAAAATAGTATAATTTAGATAACTATACATTTTTTATCACTTCAGTTTGTGGAAACGGAATAATTTTGTCAAGGTCAACATAGAACAGGACTCTATTAATTTCATTGTACACATTTCCAAGTTTATGGCCTTGATCAAACAAGTGAAGTAAATGACAGGGTGTGAAACTGTCAGTTTAATTAAAATCCGAGACGCTTTTTTAGGTGTGTTTTAGCTGTGATTAGGGATAGCCTTATTTATCGCTTTGAATGTTTAGTAATTTTGAATAATAACCACTTCAAACTAGGATTGTCTCTTCCTTTTCTAATAAGTTTCTGGACTGGTCTATCAGTAGAACAGAAAGGACGGTTAATTAATTCTTTTGTTTCTGACCTGCGAAAGTATTTTAAATGCTTTTGCAGGATTAGACTCATGAAAACAAGATTGATTTTTGTTAGGATCGAAGAACTAAAGTGATTAGCTTTCGTTGGTAAATGAGCTCGAGACAAATAACCTATTGTTGTTTGGTAATATGTGTTGATCTTTTTTTTGTAACTGATATCGGAATTCAGAATTTACATTTCAGATTGTATACTAGCAAATGTAATGAAGCGCTTTACTTTGTAAATTCCTTTTATAGATTAGTATCCTCAATAATGAGACTTAGTTTTATGACTTTCTGATTGATTTGTTTGGTTAATAAAAGTAAAAGTAAAATAAGTAAGTGGGGAGCTGAAAGTATTTTTAGCCATTTTATAATATTTTTTGGAAGACAAACTGTAATTCTCAAGATAAATGGAGTATGTGCATGTTTACTTCCTAAACGTCCGTCGGTAAGTATAATCCGAGAAATGTTGGATCTAAATCACAAATATGATGAGAAAGAATATTTTATTGACTCAAGAATACATTTTAGTTACATATTTTATTCTGATCTTGACATATTAGTCTAAAATATTAAATACAGAAGTTTATGTGAATTAAACCATTTCTTTATTGGAATACCGACTAAATAAACTTCATAATAGCTTGAATTTTATTTATAAATCAAATAATAATAAGAATGATAGCAAACTGGATTTTATAGTTTATACTCTGTAAATCTTGGGAGACGTATACACTTGCATCTAGTCTTTTCTCTTACTGATCATGCTAATTAGTTCTTTTGTAGATACCTATATATATATATATATATATATATATATATATATATATATATATATATATATATATATATATATATATATATGGAGAGAGATTTAGAGAAAAATCTAATTTGTGAACCTGTAATGAAAAAAGTATTATCAACTTTTATATTCTAGATGGTCTACTTTTTATCCATGGAATTTTTTATGGGTCGTACACTGAAGAATACAATGCTTAACGTAGACACAGCAGAAGCTCTGGATGAAGCAATGTATCAAGTGAGTAACAGGCATAAAAACATGATTTATTTCACGAAAGTAAATTCACTACTAGAATGCTTTGGGTTTTGATATCCAAGTGCCAGCGAAACTAGACGTATTCTATAGTCTATACCTACAATTAAAACTTTAAGTGGATCCCGATTGTACTAATGCTTATCTTAGAAATAATTAGGCTTTTCGTACTACCTTGCCTCAAAAGAATATACTTTTAAGAATGAAATAGCTAATATAATTGAACATAACATAAACGGAGTATCTTGAATTAGTCATAAATCTCTGTAAATTCCGAAAACAAGCCACAATCATGTCCCACTTCTAGACTTTAATCGGTAGTAATCACGACGTATCCTGGTCGTACTTCGTAATAGCATGTCTGATTAAGTCAACTATTTCTATAGTTTTATTGATATTCAAAATTAAACTTCTAGAGGCTTAAGCTTTCAATCTAGATGTACCTGAAATTATTGTGAGTGATGGTCAGTCTATAACGCGAATTCACTGAAACTGGTAAATATGGATAGTTGAATTATGAACAATTTACTCATTGGTATAACTAGTCACACAATGAGAAACAGTTGTCCAGTGCTTGCTGGGTTTCATTCATCGTTTTTGTCATTTTTACAAATTAATAAAATCAATATTCATGTTAATCGATTTCTTACATACTATTTATTGGAAATGTATTATAAACATGTACAATTTTACTATAGGTCTTTTAGACAAATATGTGTTGATAAATTTGACCGTAGATTAATGTGTAGTTTAATAGGTCTAAAGATAATCTAATTTACTATATGTTTAAGTCTTTGACACAAAGAATTGTTTTACATAAAGTAATCTGTCAGATGGGTAGGAAAACCATAAACTAATTCTATGCGCTATTTATGTAAGAATGAGTCATTAACAACAGTAAAATCAGACAAGTTTAATAGGATCAGCACTATTATTATTGAAAGAGAAATCGTTCAATCCAATATTTTTTTGTTTTTGAAGAGAAATGAACTTATTTAATGATTTTCAAGTTAGACCTTATTTTGATTGAGGTCAAAAGTAGCAAAATACTCTACTGGATCATCGTAAACAAAAATAAACCGCAAATGGGGTTTCGTGGAGATTGTAGTAATTTAATAGTTGAATTCATGAGTCGATTAAAGCTAAACCACCATGAAAAACCCGGAAGCACTGGACGGTCGTTTCGTCCTAGTATTGGGACTCTAGCAGTGCGCATCCTCGATCCCGCCAGCGGGATTCTAACCCAGGGCCTTCGGTTTCGCGCACGAACGCCTAACCTCTAGACCACTGCGCCGGCATCCAACGGTTTTAATGTCTAAATTAGTTTGGATATTTTTTGACTTCAGAAGTGAAAAAAATATCTGACAGTTAAACTGAAATTCGTCAACATATACAGAGAAATTGTAATATTTGGATACAGTTAAAATACCACACATATTTAATTGAAGTGTCTAAGTTTCGAGTCGATAGTTAAGTTTTCAGTATGGGGTTGTGGAGATTGTTGAGTTGCATTGAAATCATGAACCGACCACCTAGGTTCTACCACCATCGAAAACCTGGAAGCACTGGACGGTTGCTTCGTTCTGCTATGGGACTCCTCAGAAGTACGCATCCACAGTCCATCACGTGAGACTCGAACACAAGACCTTCGCTTTCGCGCGTGAACGCCTAACTACTAGACCACTTAGTTGTCGTTCAACGGTGTTAATGTCTAACTTCAATCATCATTTGACATTATCTTGGTCGAGAGTCAAGAATATTCCTGAGCTCTCGTAACTATGTACCAGCATAGTGTGGAAAATGAGACAACAAATCTATTAATAGTGCCTTTCTTTATAGCCTAGTGGATAGTGATCACTATATCAAAGTAGAAGCCTTCTCTGCCTTATATCGAGTCCCAAGAAATCTACTAGTAGGAGTAAGATTACTCCTCCTCTACATAGGTGAAGCCGTAGGGATTGCATCCAGAAAAATTAACGAAGATTTCTAGACTCAGTATACTTAGCCCCCTTGTTCATTATGGCTCAGGATTCAGAAATCTAATCAAATCTCATGTTTGTTTCTGCACAGCCTCACTATTAATTTCATGTCCATCTTTCTCAATTGATATGAAATTTTTATCATTATTATCGTAATTATCCTGGAAACATTTCTCCTATTATATATTATCTTCGCACGAAGTTTATTATTATTATTATTATTATTATTATTATTATTATTATTATTATTATTATTATTATTACTATAATCATCATTAGCATAGTATCATCTAATCACAATGTATGGTTTATGTTGGCCATTGTAATAGAACTACTATAGAATGATATCTGTTCTTATAGATACTACTTATCAATTAGACATGAGGATATGTTCATAAAATTCACTTTTATCTGATGTGAGATTCAATCAAGAGAAAATGTACCAATCATATCTAATACACTTGTTACTAGATTGAGATTGTTTATTATGTAATTCTATGTTCACTTGAGAATAGTTTCAATGTATTAAATTACTGTTCGGTTTAGCGAACTATATTTGCACACTTATGAGGGGATATTGTTTAGTTAAGAAAAAAGCACACTCAAGTTAGTGGTGTTGAAGAAAGATTTTCACTGGGAGCACTTCACCTAAATATATCAATATCTCGAAAACACCGACCCATAATGGATAAGCTAACAAAGGAGCATTTATGGAAATGAAAGTACCTCACAGGGAATGTAAAGATTGTCACTAAATGAGATAATAAAAATATCCTTCATAAACTTTGTTATGTTTTTAGAATGTAATACCATATTTAAGCGAAACTTCTGTGGTAGCTTACAATGGAATTCATAATGCACGTTTCGTACTATTCGAGATGCATCAGCTTGGTGCGCTTGAATCCATGTTGATATTCATACCGGGACTCGAACCCAGTACCTATCGAAGCACTCAGCTAGCGATACACCTGTGTCAAAGAAACTGACCAATTTCAGTTCATAACATTAACAACTAAAAGATCGAAGCCTTTATAAGTGAAAATAATATCATTATATTTAAAATAGAAGACCAGCAAAACACACCAACGTGTTATATTCAGTATTCTCAAATTACTCGACTGTTGAATTCGGAAAGCATGTTTGTAATTGCTTAGAGTTGATTTAGAAATATGCATTCTTAGATGGACAGGTTTATCATCATTCCTAGTTTGTCGTTTATTTAGACAATGTTGAATTTGACACTGATGTTGTTGAATAAGCATGCACTAGTTTAGTTAAGCAAGATTATGAGTTACATGTTAGTTGATATGGTTACCGGTAAACTGAGCAGTCAGTCAGTCAGTCAGTAACAACGTAGAACTTCGTACGTACGTACATCAGTTTGAGTTGCCACACCACATTAGCACAGAGATGCAGTTGTCGATTCAAATCCCGTAGTGGTAGAGGTAATAAAAGTATAAGCAATAATCGGGAAGATTAGGGTTTGGAGATGTTATTTAAAGAGTATAATACAGTGAAAGAAATTTGGAAAGAGGAAAAAAGGGACATGAAGAATTCAGAAGATTAGAATTTGGGAAAACACAGAGAGTGGATGCACTTGCGTCATTGCAAACGATTTTAAGCCATGTCATTCAGGATCTCTAACCATCGGTTGCTATCATCTCGTGGTCCCCAACCAGGTAGTCTACACCTACCAACATGACTCAGTTCACTTGTCAGTGACTTCATGGACTTGTGCCATGTTTTGGTTTGGCCGCCCCTAGCTTTCTTCCAACCTACTTCTATACCACTGAACATAACACGTCGAGGCAGTCGGTCGTAGGGCATACGTAACACGTGTCCTAGCCATCTCAACTGATGAAGTTTCACCACTTCATCAATTGATTTGCCATCCTTACCTAGTACCCATTTCCTAACAACTGCATTACTTACTCGATGGTCCCATGATATACGAGCAATGTTTCGAAGACACCTATGATCGAATACTAGTAACCTACGGATATCCTCTACTCTTACCGGCCATGTTTCACTGCCATAAAGTAGGACGGAACGAACTGCTGCGCAGTAAACACGTCCTTTGGTTGATAGACGGATATCTCGCCCTCGTTTCAGATTTCCTATGGCTTTTTCAACTTCGTAAAGGGACGGAGGACCTACATTAACTTGCCATTCAGGTTGATTAGAGATCGTAGGAAACCGAAGTGTGACTGAAGGCCAGTTGAACTGATTCCTAAAGTGTTCTGCCCATCGATCCAATCTCCTGGATTGAGAATGAATAATATGTCCATCTTTCTCTGAGATTGTTTCGCTAACGGTCGGGTTCCTAATTCCGGTTTCCTTAACGAGTCTGAACAATTGTCTGCTATTACCTATTGCCGCTGCCTTTTCCATCTCTCTTGCTTTCGCTACCCACCACTGTTCGCGATCATTGCGTAGACTTATTGTCAGCTTGCGCTTAAGCTGACTCCGCTCTTCATTATGTTCAGAGCCAGGTGGAATGAGTTTTCGAGCATCTATCAGTGCGGTAGATGCTGCTGAGATCCAGTGTTGCTCCCTAACCTTCTGGTTTACCTTACTAGCAGATATCACTGCTGTTTCCACAGCTTTTCGGATATCATTCCATGCTGCCTCGGGGTGGGCATCACATACATGGCTGCCTAACTGTTTTCCTAGTTGTTCCTGAAATATACTCTTAGCTTGACTATCATTAAGTAGGCCCTAAGAGGTTTCCTTGCAGCGTCTTTCCTACGTCCAGTAAGACGCAAGCAAATACGCGCTCGCACTAGAGCATGATCTGAATCTAGGCATGTTCTCCAGAATGAGCGACAGTCTTCTATCGAGCCCTTCCATCGGTGGCTGATAGCGATGTGATCTATTTGGGTCCAACGTTGGGACGAATTAGGGGGTCTCCATGTTAAAAGATGTTTTTCCTTATGTTTAAAGTTAGTATTTGCAAGGAAAAGGCGGTTATCTGAGCATAGCTGCAACAGACGGTCGCCATTATCTGTTCTTTGAGCCACGACACCATAGGATCCACCTAGGTGTCTTTCCTTATCGCTTAGTTTACCTACTTGAGCATTAAAGTCACCGGCCACTATTACTACATCCGAGCGCTTAGCTTTTCGGAGAAGGTCCGAAAGCTTTCTGTAAAACTCATCTTTGACACCATCTGAGCTGCAGTCAGTGGGAGAATAGGCAGAGACGACGAAGAGGCAACGACGAGTGTCCCTATCTTTCCGGATTCTTACTGTTCCGTTCAGTCGGACAGCGCACAAACGACTGTCTACTGGGATCCACTCTAAGAGAGCTAGTTCTGCCCTAGGACTCAATGCTATACCTATGCCGGCGAGGCCACGAGAAGCAGAATCAGGGCTTCCAGATACACGAAGCGTAAATCGAGTCGGTTCTTTATTTTGTCATGGTGAGGTCAAATGAATGACGCTACTTGGATCCTGTATGCGTGTTTCGGAGACGCAGCACACATCGATGGCGCGAGATTCTAAAGTCCTAGCTAAGGAAGCCTGTTGTCCTATTTGGCACAGTGTTCGTGCGTTAAAAGCTCCTACGTGTAGTTTAGAGCGTGGTTTCAGGAGACCAGGAATAGCGTTCCACGTACTCGAATCGTTTGCCCTAGCGGTGCGAGGTGATAAAGAGACGTGAGGAGGGTTAGTCATGGAGATAAGAGAGGTATTAGGAGGTGTAGGAAGGATTTGAATGTGACCACCTTGGTCTCGTGTGCTGTTACGGGTATGAGGGCTGATGTCACTTCCCGGCTGCCCACACCGTGGAAAGGTATTTCTTGAGGAACCTGAAAAGGAAATTGAATTAGTGTTGGTCTTGACGACCTGGGAGCGTGACCGCAGAGCCCAAGGGACAACTGCTTGAGGCCGGTCGCGCACGGCCTTTTTGTGGAAGGTTTTTGACGTGTTAGCTCCGTTCTTCAAAGGGCCTTACCGCCGGAGACGGAAATCCGTGAGGTAAGGTGAGGTGTGACATTTTTAGGGTCGACCTTTTCTAACCCCATCCCTCCTTGTGGGAAGGCAGCATCGCTGTCATGCTGGTTGTCCGAGGGAAACACCTCACTGCTGTCACACCTCTCTACAGTCAACAGTACGACTTCGCCCTCAGACCTTGAGTTGCTGCTTTTAGTCTTACCGTTCACCAATCGACCTGCCTGGCATGGTAGAACCTACAGGAACATATGTTCCAGCCAATATAGCTCGGTTGGGTCATCACGATAGGCAAGCCCGACCACCGCGTCAAGGTAGCAGCTTCGGTCGGGCGGTAAACTGAGCATCTGATTTGCTCACAAAGTCCCCCATTTTTGAACAACGAGAAGCGTAATACGCTTGCTCACAAAGTCTCACTTTTTATAGATGATCAGACTGCCTACTTACGAGTAGCTAAAAGTTACGATGTTTGGTTATTATTCTAACGTAAACAGTTTAAGCTAAATGGTTGCGTAACCGATCTCTATCTTCCACTTTGTTTCAAGGGAGTAGATTTATCCATCTTTTGATTCCGAATTGTTTTATCTTTGTTGCTCAGCACAAATACATAAAAATAATTACAGTATGCTAGATAGAATCACAATATGAAGGTAGAGCACACTTAGTGTCCTTGATCACTATAATAATCCTTTTTAGATATCTGTGTCACCAACCTAACCACGCAAATGCAAACTACAGTCTTCGTTAACTGAACTTCTCTCGGTTGTCAGTAAAGCATGACACAAGTTTGGAATGATATCATGAATGGTACAATGGTAGACCATCATTGAAAACCTGGAAGCATTGTATGGCCGTTTCGTCCTGGTATGAAACACCTCAATAGTGCGCATCTACCATCCCTCACACGAGACTGGAACTCAGGACCTTCGGTCTCGCGCACAAGTATTAAACATTTTACTTTCAATTGTCTATAAAAACTATATATTAATTCATTCCACTAACTTAACAAATATCACCATTGGTAATAATAATGATAATAATAATAATGGTAATAATAATAATCTCGATCCTGTTTTTCTGGTTAGAGGTAAATAGCAGAAACGTTTACATTTATTCAGTGTCTTACAATCTGATTATTTGTATAGGCATTCTGCATGTTTATTAGATCATTACAAAGTCGATTTTTAAATGAATCTTGTTAAGAATTTAACAGTAGTGGAGTAGTGAGTTCTTTGTATGATAGCAAAGTGTATATATGAGGCAATTGAAGTGCTCGATAAAGTAGAACATTCTAGTGTTTTGGTATCTTTGAACTTTCGTAATATGGTACATCAAATATGAGCACTTTTCTAACCTATTGGTAATTACTGCGCGAAAATTCAATGACTTTTTATTTCAGTAATGATCGCTCATTTATTCTAGCTTGGTTTGGATATTGAAGAATTAGAAGAAATGGAATGCGATGCAGGACTTGGCAATGGTGGTTTGGGTCGACTGGCTGCATGTTTTCTTGACTCAATGGCTACAATTGGTTTAGCAGCTTATGGTTACGGAATACGTTATGAAAATGGTGCTTTTCATCAGATGATAAAGGATGGATGGCAGGTAAGAATTTTAGAAATAAACCTATTTCTTAAACTGGTCTTCGAAATATCTCATTATATTTTAAAAAGTTATAATCAATTGGCACACTTCTTTTAAAATTATAGGTTGAAGAACCGGATGAATGGTTACTTTATGGTAATCCTTGGGAGAAAGAACGCCCTGAATTCACTCGCATAGTTCAGTTTTACGGTAGAGTTATGCGCAATCATTTAGATCAATGTAAATGGGTTGAAACAGAAACAATATGTGCCCTACCTTATGAAGTTCCTATACCTGGATATCGTAATCAGACATGTAATACGCTTAGATTATGGTCCGCTAAGGGCAGGAAATACTTTGATACGAAAATTATTCATAACAATGATTATATAAATGTAAGTTACCAAAAGAATATTTTTGACTTAATGTCTGCATTTTACGAATTTACAAAAATTCACCACTCATTTGTGGCTAACTTCTGGATAGATTGCTGAAATTCTGGGGAGAAGTTTTTACCGATAAGACTCAACCCTTATCGGAGTTAATAGAGTCATCTATAATAACAATGAGTGATGGTCTCACAGTGTTGTGAATTATCTGAAATGGAACATGTCAACGATTAAGCACCATTTCATTAGTTCAAAGGTAATCCCTTCATAATAAGGCCCAGAAACCTCAAATTCCAGACTTAGTGAAATCTTAAGTAGACGCTACTGAGAAGCTCGATACTAAGATGAAATAAATGTTCACTGCCTCCTGTTCTTCAGCGGTTATGTAGATAAATTCAGTCCATGATATTAGACTAAATTTATTGTACACTAATCGTTTTGGTCCATATAGTTAACTGTTTACTTTTTGAACTACATCATTTTAATGCTTTTAGCATATTTCGGTTACTAGCTTTTTCAGAACAGCTTGCTTATTTAATAGTCGCTTGCTTTAATTTTTTTGCAAATCCACTATTTTACACTGTATTAACAGTAAAATTGTTCTGGTTTCAATTAACACCATTTGATTATCATATTGATTATTTAGGAATAAAAGATAACAGAAAAAAGTGACAATTTATTTAAACACAGAGAATACTAGAGGGAAGAGTTATTTTCATAATAACTTCATCATCAGGTTGACTGACTGACTCTACAGTTATAAGTTCATAATTATTGTATTACAATGGCAAAAATATGGAGTTTATTTATGCTTGTCGTACGTAGTTTAGTAATATGCTAATTGGATGGTATTTTTACGATTATCATACAGTTACTTAGTATAATTGTATCAATCATTTTTATTTCAAACTGATTTGTTTAACCTCAAATAAGCCTTATTGTTTTGATCATTTTGATCTTGCAAATGGAAATCAGTCCATTGAAATACATTTTTAAAATCAAACAATTGTCAAAAATATGATTCATTTATATTACGTGTTTGATACTTGATGAGCGATTATCCTGACTTCTTTGTATTCGAACCAAAACAGTTTGACTACAATACCAAGTAGCATTTAACTAATGATTAAAGAAGTTTTTCGTTTTAATCATTGTACGAGAACATAGATTATTTAAGATTAAATGCTACGTTTGCAAACACCCACCTGTTGTTTCTTAAGAATTTTCAGGCCTGTTGTTAGCCTATGTCAAATAAAGCAAACAAAACAGACACGTCTCTTAGTTTGCAAAATTATTGAAAGTTCTGACCCGTCAAACATGTGTCTTTAAAAATTTCAATTCGAAATTCTGATATTAAAATCTGCCTTATACCAGCATTTAAATCTTTGAGTTGTATGCAACGTAGAATCTGTTACATGTATGCATTAGTTCACATTGCCAAACTTCATTAGCACAGCGAGCTCCCAGAGTAGTAGAAGTAGTAACATTATTAGTGGTAGCAGAAAAGAATAGGGAAAGCAGATATAGTTCAAGAATAATATTTGGAATTGTGGAATAAAAATAACTATGATATGATTTAGAAAGTCATGATTTAAGGGAAAACAAAGAGTGAATGCACCGTCTGCATTGGGAAAGATTCTGGATTATAATACCCAAAGTCCCTTATCTTTGGTTAAGAAAATCTCGCGGAATCCAATCAGTTGGTAGTCACCTACCTACTTGGTCTGTTCTAATTGACACTGATTTTATTGAATGATGCCATGGCTTGGTTAGAGTGCCCTTGACTTTTAACGTATGTATACACCAGATAACATCATTCATCAAGGCAGGCGGTAGTTGGGCATACGTAATACAACGTTTAAATAACTAATTTTTATCAAGTATACGCTACAAATCTTCCGTTCTAACTTAACCATTTTTTCGAATAAGAGGACAGTTTAAACTTTTGAATATTTTCGCTTGTATAATAATTATTTATTACTTTGATATAGGCTACTTCGATTTCTGTAAATAAATTCTGTATTGTTGAAGTTATCATTTTACCACAAAATGACACATCTCTTCTTTGTTTCCCCTCACTTTTATGTTTATGAATGAATGTATCCAGGGTAAATAAGGTGCTGTTCATATTCTCTCGTAACTTATCTTTTTCTTCATTATCTATGCAGCCAATCAGAATTCTTCGTTATCATCCATTTTTGTGGCATCAATGTAACACTGAACAGTAAACTGTTTTGCCACAATCGATCTACAAAAAACAGCATAAATTCATGTATTGTTTTGTTAATTTAGGCTTGCTCTGTTCTATTTTTTTAATCCTTGGTAAATAACACATTTTGTCATGTATTTACTTCTCGTAAAGTCTTTAATTCACAATGTTTTTGCAATAATAAAGCCTAATTTAAAGTAAACTAGCATATTCAAAGTGATAATTCTCTTCGTTTTTAAAAAATCTTAACAATCAGGCTATACTTGGCCGTAATGAAGCTGAAAATATTTCTCGTGTTCTTTATCCAATTGAAAGTGCATTCGAAGGTAAAGAATTGCAATTAAAACAGGAATACTTTCTTGTATCCGCTACATTACAAGTAAGCTGAAACGTTTATCTATCATCCATGATTTCATCTGTGGTTATTTAAAATATGATCTATTTTAGCCATTCGATAATAACTGCGACTAATCGATTTAAACAGTTGATCACCTTAACATAAACATCAAACACAATTTACAGTTGATTGATCATTAGGTAGTGATCAGTGTTACGTGTGTCATGTTATTCTTAGTGCAGATCGAATTCTATCAACCAAGTTGCAATGTAGTCACTGGTCTAGGTGACTTGACACCGCGTGCTCGAAACCTAGGTTCAAGACTTCCTGTTGACTACCTCCAACCACCATTTCACTAAACACAATGAATAAACAATTGTTCAAACAGTTTTATGGGTCTTTTTGGGGGGTGGGGTAGACGGAGAATAGTGAGGATACTTTTAGTTTAGAATGTGAATCGCTTTCAACAGAGAAAGATATATATAAATCATGTGATCAAGTTTAAAAGTAAATGCTCATATCGAACCACACAAAAAACATGATGAAACTATGGTGTGTAAGGTAATTTTGTTATAATATTAAATAATTTCATCTTATTCGTATTAATTAAGTGCCACTCATATTACTAAATAGTGAAAGAAAACTGTATTACTGTATCTTAAAAGTTCTCAATTCATTTACTTTATGAATTTCATACTGAGTAAAATATAACCTAACAAAATATTTTTATGTTTATATCATAACGAAAGTTTTTTTATTATAATCAGTATAGGGTTGTGGAGATTGTTAAGTTTAGATTGGTATCATGAGTGGACCAATATTAGACCAACATTGAAAACCTGGAAGCACCGGACGTCTTTTACGTCCTAGTATGGGACTTCCACGATCCTGCACGTGGGATTCGAACACAGGGTTTTAGGTCTCGTGCGCCGATACTTAACCTCTAGACCACCGAGTTTACATCCAATGGTGTTAATGTCTAACTTCAGCCAATCCACGATATTACACGATCGTCCACCATGGTCTTCAGTGAGCAACTGCCTTACAACAGACATAGTTGAACTTCACACGCGAGACCGAAGGCTCTGGGTTCGAGTCCTCTTGAGGGATCGTGGATGGATCCCTATACTGGGACGAGACGGCCGTCCGAAGCTTCCAGGTTTTCAATGGTGGTCTAACATCAATCAGTTCATGATCCCAATCAAAAACTTAATAATCTCGACAACCTCATACTGATGAATTCTTAACGTTGAGTATTCATGACCGTACGTCAAACTGAATTCACAAAGTTTGGTGTTCTATGGAAAAATTTTCTTGGATTAAATCAGTCATCCCAAATCACATCACTGAACAAGAACATATCGTTTATAAGCATTCTTGATATCAATCTTAACTTTATTATATAATTTATATTTTTGTTTGAATAATTAATATAAAATTCTCATTGTTATTTTGTTTTATTTTCTAATTAACCAAAAAAGGATATACTGTATCAGTTTAAATCATCTTATCCAACTTATGAACTATTTGAATTACCAAATAAAGTTGTAATTCATATCAATGATACACATCCAGCACTAGCTATTCCTGAACTATTGAGGATTCTAGTTGATATAGAGTGTATGGATTGGATTGATGTAAGTAATAAAAGTTTGGTAATCAGTCTAAGTATTTTAAATAATAATCGATATCATACATATATTTAGAAATTTATGGTCAGTCACGTAAACTATTAGATACCATATTAGTGGTTTGAAATTTCGGCTCTTACTTTGGAACCTGAAAGTCTTGGGTTCGATTCATAGTAGGATCATGGATACTCACCGTGAAGGTGTCCTATACTAGGACGAAACAACTGTCTAGTGCTTTTTGGTTGTCGGACTAATGTCAGTTTTGTGAAGCTAACTATTGTATTTTAAATGCACTGTCAGTCTTACATGATTTTTTATAAAACAAATTCTGGTTAAAACTGTCTAACTCATAGAAATCAGCATAATCTCAAGACTATTTTGGATCTACAAATCTTTTTCCATTATTGTAACTTGTGTACTGATTACACGTGGAAATATTATTAACATTGTGTAGTACACATAAAATTTTTTAAGTATTATATTCATATATTTTATTTTATTAATAGCTCGTCATGTTATTCTTACTCTAGAATTAACTGTGTTTAATTAAATAAATAGTATCATAAACTGCATATGATGGGTGTTTACTTCTGTATGATTTAGTTTGTCCTTCAGATATAATACTAGAACTGTAAACGCGATACTGGCGCTCCCAGAGTCTATGTGAAAGCTGTAATCTGAACACAGACAACTTGGCTTTGAACTTTATGTTTCTAAACGTAAAAACAATTAGATTAGTACAATAATTAAAGGAATTATAGTCAATAAGTGAAACGCGTAAACATACCCACCAGTATTTCGTGTCTTGTCGAAATGAACAAAAATTATGAGTTACACTAATACAATTGGCAGGTCGCATGCAACAAGAATATTCTACAGACACATCATACCAGATTGACGTGGTGCAAGCTTAAGCAACGATTTGATTGGTTAGTTATAGACATAACTAACAACCTTCTTGTTTAATTTCAAGCTCTTTTAATTATTACCTAGCTGAACTTTCAGTTTTAAGTTTATAACATACTACATATAAGAAGATATCTAAGAAAATTTCAATGATTCCAAAACGAATATGGATTTGACTAGAATAGTATTGATTGACTAGACAATATTTGTTTTTAATAACAGAATAATAAGTTACATTCGAAGGATGTATACGAGGAAAATTCATTCAATTTAACTTCAGTTAACCTCGTAGTTTATTACGTCTTGATGACCAACATAATAGTGTAATGACGATTATGAATCGCTATGCTTCATTCTTTTTTTTCAAAAAACGGTCTCTGTACTACCATCACGGAAATAATAGGAGTTATACTTAAAATATTATTAGAATTAATTGTACTCGATACTGGAGATAATTTTTCTATTGTCTTTCTACTCAGGACTTTTGTAAATTTCCAACTGGCTTTATTATTTCATATAATTCCCATTATCTATAAATTTAACGCAGAAACAATGAACGGAGTAGAATAAAATGAACTCATTTTATTTCATGGTTTCTCATCAGCTACTTACAATTTAAACGTTATGATATTATTCACTAGAAATCGGTGTACATAATTTACATTCATAATATCGAAGAAAGTTTTCATTAATTATTATTATTATATTTTTGGTACAATATAGAATTCTCAGCACAAAGTATTTCAGCGCGTTTCCGTTTCTTATTTCTTGATCGATATTGACGATAAATATTGAGTGATCGCTAGTTAGTTATTAGCATTTCAGAAGTCGATATCTGAATAATATTCATTCTTTTCAGCGAACATTTCCAACCATCACGATGTCTCCGATTGTAAATTTTTGTAACTTGTACAGTGAAAGGTTGTAAACTCTTCACAAATGCACCTGGATAGGTTATACAATGAATTAACATAATGATCTGCTAAAACAAACAAGGAAACAGATAACTTGTTGAAATATCTAGATGGGAGGAACAGGTAGCCCAGTTATTCAAGTAGGATGCCTCTGAGAGATTCATGTAGAGAGTAATAAGTATCGAAGAGCTATAACTGATGTTCATATGTTAAATAATAAGAATATTTCTTTGTTGAATATTTGAATATTCTAGAATGAATGAACTGGGGCAATTAGAAATAAAATATTTATGTTCAAGCTTTTTAATCCTTAAAGCATAATATAACGTTTAAATTAGTATAGATCAAATGAAATGTGTGAATTAATAATAACTACTGTCATAGAAAGAAGAAATGATAGTATTGGCATAAAGTATATACACTGATTTTTAATGATAAATACTATTGTTTTTAGGTGGTAAGTAGTGGATTAGAAATTGTGAAATAAAATGAATTCATGCTCTTGTTTTGTTGCTATCTATTAACAGGACGAAATTACATGCTTTATTACATTTATCAGTACTGATTCTTTTCATCTATTTTACTCTAAAAGGCATGGGATATATGTTCACGTGTATTTACTCATACAAATCATGTATCACAAGTAGAATGTTTAAAGTATTGGCCATTAGATATGCTTCAACGTGTTCTACCTAGACATGTGGAAATTATACGCAATATCGATTATCATTTTAAAAGTGTAAGTTCAAATTTATTCAATGTAACTATTTTAGGGGGAAAATAATGTAACTCGTGGATTTATAAATATGGGTGTTTATTTATTGCCTCATGGGGAAACTCAACAAATTATGTCAGTTTTCTTTTTTAATTTTGAACTGTAAGTAATTAAAAACAAATACTTACATACGAAATTCCAAATCGCTCATGCTAAAAGACTAAACGGGAAATATTTTTTAGAACTTAGATTCTGACAATAAAGTTTTTAATGTGTATCTGGCATCATTATGAAAATCCGACATGATTTTTCCAGTAGGACTTGACATTTCAATAAAAAATAACCAAGTTTCTTCAAATATTTACAATTAAAAAGCGGAAGAATATAAATTGTTGCATATGATAGCGAATATCATACTCTTCCCACTGTTTGTCCGTTATCGTGATTCAGTAATCTAGCCTATCACACTGAACGATGGGCACCAGGTTCGAATATCATTTTAAACATCACCACTAGGATTCAGGCAAATCCGGTTGGTGATCTCAAATAGAAAGGGATGCGTATTCAGGATTTCACTGCTATCCATAATCCAAATAATATAGTCAAATGTCAATTAGAGGAAATATCAAACCCTTTACTCAAGGAGCCTATATACCGACAGAGATTGGCTAAATTTAACCCTGAATATCAGCAACGGAAAATTACATACCCCACAAATAATGTTATAGGTATCATTTTTTGTTCGCTTCAGGGATCAAACACATTAGGATTGTATTAAAGCTTCTTATGATGATTTAAAAATAACATGGAAGTGAGTTGTTCGAAATAATTCATAACATTTATTGCTAAGATATCTCTACTTTACTTGTTTCCAACGTAGCACCGATAAAATATGAAGTTTTGTTCAAAGAATAGTGAATATATTCATAGACTAGATTTGTCTATTGTTCGACAATCAAAGTTGTATTCATAAATTGTCTTTGTTTATCTTTAGGCACTTAATCCTGGGTCATAATGATTAAAGGACTGAGGGAATATTTTACTCGATTGACTGTGATCTCAACTAAGATGTCCTATAATTAATTCAAATCAAAGAGTGGTTTGTAATTTCTTAAGAAATCCCTGCTGATTGTCAGCGTATACTTTAAAAAGAATTAAGCTATCAGGATTTCTATACAACTGTTTAAAATCTTTCTCCATCAAGATGGAATTTAATCTAGTGTTGTGCATAATTGTTTGGTTGCCATTTGGATACATTTTTTGATTGTCTTCTATCTTGATATGATCGCTTATCTTGAAGTTTTTTGTAATTTTTCCTGTCGGCGTGCAGATTACGTCCATTTGTCTGTGTTTTGTTTGTCCATTATTTCGATATCTTCCTAACTAAATGAAAAAAACCTCAAAGATCGCAACCACTTGGAATAATAATGGCATTTATAAGAATAGAGCGAAACTGTATGTAGTTCATGTAATAAAGGTGATATTTTGTTATTGATATTATGCATGAAACCGATTTATTTGTACAAAGGATTTCGTAACGCCAAACAAATTGATGGTTACTAAGTGAGCCATTTTCGGATTTTTACTTTTTTCCATCACGGCTACAAAAAGGCTGTTCGAATGTTTATATTAAAAACTTGACTGTTAAAAAACTGTTAGTATTCTTTATCATAGGTCATAAACAGAAGGTGGCCAAGTGACGAAAATCGATTCCAACGTATGTCGATATTTCAAGAGATCAATGAACCTGTTGTTAGTATGGACCATTTATGCATAATTGGATCACATTTTGTCAATGGTGTTTCAATTTTTCAAACGAACCATTTAGTAAATACCTTGTATGTTGAACTTTTATTTAGTATTTCATTCAGTATAACTGCGGTTAATTACAACGTTTTCAATGTTTTATAAGTGTTATGTCTAATGCATTCCGTAGTTTTGTTTCATTCATTTAATAAATGAGTATCACATATTATAGATCTGTTTTTACCAGAGATTTCATCCCAAGCCTCAAATTTCGTTATGAGTGTTTTTTATTACCTGCGCCGCATAAACATATTCATTACAGAGAGTTGGAGATAACTCCAGACACTTGAAATAAAATGTTTAGTGAAATTTACTCCACATCATCCATTATTCAATCGCCAGAAAGCCTTAGCCCTTAATATTGGTTGTATTTCTGATTGATCAACCGTATTTTGCTTTGGAATACTTGAGTCATTTTATTAATTTACTTGTATGGTTATAACAGAAAATAGTCATTACTTATCAACGTATTCACGAAACGTGTTTATCAGTTATAGTAGGTCACATTTATAGGTGAATGTTTTATGTACTAAACAAAAACAACTAGTCAGTTCTACACATGGGGTGATTAAAAACCGATATACAACCATTTATTTATTTTGTTCTGTTGATATTTCATGCAGAAAAATATCCAATTAACATAGACCTTAAGATAGTCTGTTAATTATTCAAATTTCTATGGTTTATACATATAACCGTATAAGAGATTCTAACCACATGGACGAAATGAGTTTCTCTGACTTCTCAGTACAAGTAATATACACTTTCAATGAAGGGTGATGAAACGGAAGATTATAAAGTGAATTTCAGTAAATAATTAGATATATTCCATTCTTTCATGCAGTTTAATATTTATTTATTTATTTATTTGAACACATGAATATTGGTACAAGGGGGCAACAAATACATATGCGCCACAAAATAACAATGAAGTTGTGAAGAGATAGAGAATGTAAAGTGTGTACTATAATAAGAAGAGCAACGAACAGAAGTGAGTGTATAAGAGTGAAACAATAATGATAATAATGGGAGAAACAGTTCAGTCAAGAAAAATATAACCAGAAATTCTTTCAATTAAAGAAGTGACATTCGCTTTCATAATAGAAGTAAAAGGAAGTTACAGCGGGACCGCCACTGGCTTCTATTTTGAGACATGTCTGATAACGTTTCTAACCACTGTTTCATATCATCTCTAGGACCCCAACAAGGGAATCGTGGAGGTCCAACACAAGGTAGTTCTGTATAGCTTTTTTTCATACCACGACACTATATCATGCACTGATCACCTCTCCGCTTTTTCCAACCAGTCTCAGCATCTGCAAATAATGCACGACGTGGAATTGTCTGGGACGGCATTCGTAGAACACGTCCAAGTCATCGAAGTCGATGTTTCAAGATAGTGACACTAGTTGAATTATCGTCGCTGTAACCGAACACACAATGTTGAACCCTTGAATTACTAACATCGTGTTGCCACTGGATGTCAGCAATCCTCTGGCGATAACAGTGACTGTATGGCCTGGGTATCGTCGCACAGTAAGACAATATCAGCCGCATACTCAGGGTCGAAAAGTCTTTCTCCGGGCAACAGATCCACACCACTATTACCAACATCTATCTAAACTGTTTCCAGAACGTCATCGATAGCAAAGTTGAAGAGGAAAGGTGAGATTGGGCAACCCTGCCTAAATGGAACAATGGATAGGGGTGCTTGTATGTCTTCACTGTACCCGCGGTGTTTGTATACAGGGCTTTACAAGATCTGCTCAAAGAGGAAACTACTATGGAGGACAAGCCGAAAGGGATCAATGAAACACTAACCTCGGAGTGTCATGAGGTTCTGGAACACAACAAGCATCATCATAAGGAATGGATCCCTACCGAAATTCTGAACAGTATTCAAGAAAGGGAGAACAAGAAGATAGCAACTAACAACGGTAAGATAAGAACAGAGCAAGTCAAGGCACTAGCTGAATACGCTGAAGCAAACAAGAGAGTCAAGAGAAGCATTAGAGATGACAAGCATTAACACGTGAAAGACCTAACAGCGACACAGGAAAATGATGCAAAACAAAGAAATATCAAACAACTATATAACACAACGAAGAAACTGACAAAAAATATAGTTAATCAGAGGACCGGTGTCAGAGAAGACAGATTAATGTATTTCCTTCTTTCTCTCTCTTTTGATAGTTGACTAGATTGTGAAGACTTCCACATCTCAGATGAAGCACCATATACAATGAACAGCTTGAGTGCAACCAGTTCACTTGATACTTCAAGTAACTCTTGCTGATAAGTTACTACTAGCTCAAAAACTAGGTCTAGAGTGTCTTCTCGACTACGTCCAACTGCTTATCATAAACGGTTTTATAGAATATGAATAAAAAGAATTAGGAAATATTAATGTGCTTAATGTATTTCTATGCATACTGAACTATCGAAACACAACTACTGAATTGAAACAATATTAATTACAGTTTTTGTTAAAACGAATTTTTTCTTTCGTTTTCTACCAAATGTAGTTATTGATGCTTGTAATATTATTTCTAGGTTACTATTCTGTGTTTCAAATTACTTTTCTTAGATTTAAGGATTTTGCCGATTTATGGCCATCGAAATTTACCAATAAAACAAATGGCATTAGTCCGAGACGTTGGTTATTGGTATGTAATCCAGGCCTAACCGATCTTATTCGAACCACCATACAATCTGACGATTGGGTAAAAAATCTTATAATGTTGAATCGATTGAAAGAAAAATTAAATGATGCAAATTTTCGAAATCGCCTTATATTAATTAAACAAGACAATAAAAATCGATTTGTTGCTTATATGCAACAGCATAGAAATATTCAACTAAATCCAAGTTCCATTTTTGATGTTCATGTACGTAAGTTGATAATATCATTGAAATAATACTATTTGAGTGCCAACTTAAAAATAGTTTTCTTTTATAAAAAAAATAAAGTACGCAAGTAGTTTTACATTTTGCGTGAAATGGATCAAGATCGATCACAATCACCTAAGTGCAAATACTCTTTGTCTTTCTTTAGATCCTGAAGTTTCTAAAACGTTTTATAATTTTTTTAATTTCACGAACCCACGTTTTCTCCTCAAATCATATCTCTTATGCTTCATTTTTTTTATTGCTTCCGTTACTATTACCCGTTCTACCACTATTCCGGTAATTTCATCTCGCTATTCTGTGAAAACTTGAACCGATGCACACATATATGTCCGGTTTCATGTGATTAACTGACTAACAAACGTAGTTATGTTGAGCAAGAGAAAACTATAGCAAATTATAGATACTGATTTTTTTATTTATGTTTTAATAAAATCATAGGCTTTCATTGTTAAATATTACTTCTAAACAAAAAAATACTTCCTGGGATGGAGTATCAAGAGATGAATTATTCTAAACAAAATGACTATGTTCTAATGAGCTACAGCAATTGAATTAGTAAATAAATTTATAGATTTAGTGAAACTTGACGCTGTGTTTATTTTGTTAACTCATTATTAGTTTTTTTTAAAAGATGAGTGTCTTTCTTATGGTATTCCTTGGACTATGTTATATGATCATAATAAACGTTTCCAGTAAACTAGTTTCAAACCAGGCATTTGCCAAGTACTGTCGATAACATCACTTTAGTTTTTGTTTCAAAGATATTTATTGTTAGGGACTATAATGAATGTGTATTTCTCCAAAGTAGTTATCCATTCCTTCTAGATTTCTTTTCAGTAAATTATTTCAGCTTTCTCAAACGAGTATTTAATTAAACTTTGTATAATTTATCGTGTAATTAAGCTCAAAAGATGGATATATTGTTCCAACGAGGTTGGTTTCCGGTAAACAACTCTTTTTGTTATTCCATCTATTATTTGCCTAGTTTGGAAGAAGGATTACTTTTATGGAATTGCTCATAACTTTGCGATAAAAATCTGACATCGTATAATTCAATTAGTCCTTTTTTTAATAAAACCATTAACTCTAATTTCCTTGAAAAAGCTTGGACCAGATTGGCAGGCGAAACGTTGGATTTACTTCAAGTTCTTTCGCTGAGATTTTACAAATACATTCTTCCTCTTTAATGTCTCACATCAACTGGGCACCCAAATACTGTGAAACTATTCGATTAAAATTAGACGAAAGTTCGTATTTATTATTCTGCAATCGCATCAAATTATCGAAGAAAATGTACAATTGCCTTAATTCTAATGATGATAAACCAATAATAACTATTTCCACAAAGGCCTTTGTAGAGGTTTTTGAATTTCGTAGTCTAAACTGATCTTAGTAAAGCAATCATGAAAAACTATGACGTCCTGAACAATTGTCTTGTTCTCATATGGAACTCCTCACTAGTGCATATCTACGACCCCACACACAGGAATGGGATCCAGGAACCAAAGTCTCGTGAGCGAACACTTAACCTCCAGACCATTGAACCGGTATCTAGTGGTATACACAAATCCCACCCATTATTTGAAGCACATAACTACTTCACATCTTACATGGTTGAACTCCAGTGGTCACGGCTTCACACTAAAACTCCAGGAGCTGTGTCTTGAAGCTCATCACTAGTAAATTATTTCAAAAGCTTTTGTCTGAAGCCGTGACCAATGGAGTTCAACCATGTAAGATGTGTGGTGGTTATTTACTATCCGTTACGTAAATGTTTACCTAATTATTTCATGGCTAGTTCTTTTGATTCTGTTCTAAATAGATGTCTAAATACAAAATAATGATAATTTGTTACCGTTTACAGGCAAAACGCAAATTTTTTTAGCTAAATAATTAAGACCAAGTGCTCTTTTTTGTAGTGTTTATTTAGAGACTTTTCTTCCTTACTCAAATAACCATATCATTTAAATATTTACTCAAAATCTTTTCATTTTATCAAAAACAGGTAAAACGTGTTCTAGAATACAAGCGTCCACTCCTACCGTGTTTATATGCTATAACTATGTATAACCGTTTAAGAGCAAATCCTGAAATGAAAATGTGTCCTAGAACAATTATTATTGGCGGTAAAGCTGCGCCTGGATACCACATGGCTAAAATGATTATAAAATTAATTAATTCAGTTGCAAGAATAATTGATTTCGATCCAATTACAACGGGTAAACTTAAAGTATGTTTAACCAGTTGTATTTTGAAATAAATATATTTTTACTTCCTTAAAATTAAAAAATAGGGTTATTAGTCACTGAAAAGCCAACTGTAATGAACCATTTTGAATGTTTTAAAAGATATCTTTAGACAGCATGTGTGCTACTTTTATTGACTTAAGTAGTATATGATGTTAATCATCAACAGAAGGTCTGGCAGCAGAGAGACAAGGGGATCGAATAGTAAAGAATGGGAACACAATGCAGTTTGTATGAAATTCAAGAACAATGAAGTCTGAGTCATTAAGAGACAATTGATGGACATTTTGCAAATTATGCATTTACTTCACTGTAACGGCGGCCTGCTTGAATACCTGGGCTACCTGTGATTAGATGGTGGTTGAAGGTAGTCAACAGGAAACCCTGGACCCGGGTTTCGTGCTACTTGGCACTCGTCAGCAAGGTGTACCTGTAATCTTGAGGGAACTGGTGCTCCCTGGCGGATTCGATCTCGTGTCACCCAGCTTCACAGTCAGAGACGTTACCACTGAGCTATCCGAGCCGTGACTAACCTCCTGTAGGACTGAGATGTAATCACAATTGATTGATCACTGGGTGGTGATCAATCTCATGCTTGTCTAGTCCTTATTAGTGCAGATCGAATGCTATCGATCATGTTGCTGACGAGTGCCAAGTAGCACGAAACCCGGGTCCAGGGTTTCCTGTTGACTACCTTCAACCACCATCTAATCTCAATACATAGTGTCCGCAGTGTCGAGTCACCTAGACTGGTGGCCACATTGCAACATGATCGATAGCATTCGATCTGCACTAATAAGGACTAGACAAGCATGACATTGATCACCACCCAGTGATCAATCAATTGTGACCTGGGCTACCTGTTTCTGCCATCTAATTATTTCAACAAGTTATCTGTTTTTTCATTTTGTTTTAATGTCTCATTATGTCCATTAATCGCATAACCTATACAGGCGCGTTTATGAAAAGCCTACGACCTTCCGGTGCACAAGTTACAAAAAAGTACTAGAAAAGACACCGTGATGGTTGGCAATATGTGTTAAAGAGAATGAATATTAATCGTATGTCGATTCTCGAGCTGCTAAATCCTAACTGCCGAACACTAATCAACGAAGTGGACTATCTTCAATTCCTACTAAGTCAAAATATGTATCGTAACTGTGGTGTCATCACAATTCAAGAATCTTGGTTAAATGATTTACAGGCCGACCGCCCAGTATCACTACGTGATTTCAAAATTAATCGTCAGGATCGATCAAAAAATAAAAAGAGGTGTGGTGGCTGTGTTTGTAAACGTGAACTGGTGTCGATCTTCGTTTGCGTGTTTGAAGTTTTCAAATGACTTTGTCGACTGTCTAACTCTAAGATGTCCAAAACATCTGAATAAATACAAATATGTTTATGTTACCAATATCTACGTGACTCCATACTGCACGTCATCTGCGCTATCTGTTTTCGCTGATGAATTCACTGAGTTTGCTGTTACTACCTTCAGTGATTCACTTTCAGTTGTATGTGGTGATTTCAATTCATGTGACTGTAGCTTCCTTAGGTCACTAGGTCACCAAAATGTAGTAGATTTTACCACTCGTTTGGATGCTCATTTAGACTTCGTTTTCATCAATGATGTGGGCATACATGTGACTCGTAAACGTGCTCCATTGTCTAGCTAAGATCACTGTATAATTCGTGTTCTACCTAAAGTATATGGAAAGCATGGGAAGAGTACACTCTTACATCAAACCAAGAAAGTGAAATATAGGAATTACTCAGAAGAAAATATCCGAAATCTGAAAAACATGTTTCATACGACTAACTGGGAATTATTTACAGATAACTCACTGGAAATCACTATTGATGTTACCACTTGTTACCTTAAATTCTGTTTTGATATTTGTTGTCCCACTGAAACCATTTTTGTAAGTTTTGATCGACTTACATCTTCACAACTAAAACGACTACGGAGAGTGAAAGAAAGAATGTACAAGGAGAAAAACTCTAATGAAGTTCGTAAGCTAAATGGTCTGATAAACCTAGAGATTAGACGTCTCAACTGTATGTTTACTCAAAAACTCTTATCTTGCAAAAACTCTCCAAGTATGTGGAAACTCTTTAAAGAACTAACAGGTGACAGACAGTTTAGGAGCGATAACCAGCTGAATGTTTGTGACTTAAATAAGTCTTTAGTACGTCAGTCATCTGATGTAATGCTCCCTTGACCCACAAGTTTAAAGAATAGCTGTGTTCCTAGTTTTACTGAAACTTATGTCCGAAGATGTCTCCAGTCGCTTAATTCATCCCGATGTTTGGGACCTGATGGTATCCCAAACCTCCTTTTTAAGAAATGTGCTGACGTCCTATTTTATCCATTAACGACTATCTTTAACAGATCCTTCTCATCTAACCTCATACCGAAAATGTGGAGAAATATGAAGATAATCCTTGTACCCAAGAAAGTATCTGGTGATAAGAATATGAAATTTAAACCTATTGCAATAACTTCACCCTTCCTCAAAAAAATGGAAAAATTATTAACACTTCCACTTCAGCCTGCAATAAAAGAGCATATTGATCCGTATTAGTTTGCCTACAGATGCAAAAGAATCACCTTAGATGCTGTTGCTGTTCTGCATCACAGTATAGTGTTAAACTTAGAAAAGGGTAAGAAGTATGTTCGATGCGCCTTTCTGGACTATACTTCAGCTTTTGATTCTATACCAAGACAACGTCTAATTAACAAGTTAATCAGCGTCAACACTGACAGCTGGACAACCAACTGGCTATGTCCCTATCTCTATGGAAGGGAACAGTACACTGTATTTGGAGGAAAGTGTTCAGAGTCTCTACTGTCTCATGAAGGTGTACATGTACCACAAGGAGCTGTTCTTTCAGCTCTTCTTTTCTCTTTTTTTCTGCACGATCTGCCATCTTCCACAGAAAACACTTTTGTGAAATAGGTGGATGATCTCATTGTATGTATGCCTATGTCTTCCTCCTTACATCCCATAGAAATGAATGGATTTTTGTCTCGTATTGATTGTTGGTCTGTTGGTAATGGTCTCATACTTAATCCGTCTAAATGTCAAGCTGTTAACTTTAGCATGAGACATGAACGGCATCTAAACATCATTTTGAGATCCTATAATGCTTGTGCCATTGGAGACTCTTTGATAAACACACTGTTGGAGGTCAATTATCTTGGTGTTTCTTTCCTCTGATCTCTCTTGGTCTTCTCATGTTTTATTGTTGTCGAAGGTTTTCCGTCTGACTTACTATGTAAAGAGAATTCATGCTCTTGGGATTACTCTTCATTTACTCTTACAATTTGTCAATTCTTCCATATTACCTATTATTCTTTACTGTTCTCCATTATTCTTTCCCGCGCGTTTGAGAAAAGACTTTGCTGTATTGCGGAGAGTGCTGAAGGCAGTTAGCAAGGTGTGTGGTGAATCTTTTGAGGTCATAATTAATATGGTTGTGGATAGACACCTAAAGTCATGCAAACTCCTGGCAGGTGTTATTTTATCAGATACTAGCCATCCCCTTCACTGTTATCTTTCTCCTTGTATATCTTCTGGTAGAACGAGACGTAATTACATTAAAATCCATGCACGCAAACAAAAATATAAAAGTTCTATAATACCTTACCTAGCAAATATACTCTGTGGCGAACAGGTTGTTAGAGTTAATCTAGTCAATAACCTGCATTCTTAACATGTCTCTATTTTGAAAAGTTGTACAGTTTTTCAGATTTTTTAAACCTTTTTTCCATTTTTTGTCTTTGTTTCTGTTTTTTGCGTAAGAAACTTGTTGAAATACCCTGTGCTGAGAATTTCTATATTGTACCAAAATATGATATTGAATAAAGCCATTAATAATAATAATAATAATAATAATAATAATAATAATAATAATAATAATAATAATAATAATAATAATACATTCGATTGTCCCCACTAGTGTTCTTGTTCACTACACTACCTGAGATATGTTATCCACTTATACTACACACAATGATAACTATCACCACTTACCTAATTCTAAGAAAGATGTGAATAATATCCGATTTTCCTACTACCTTGTGTGTCAATTGACCTAGAATGGTTTACTTAAGCATTTGGTCCAGTTAAGATTTACAAATTATTATTATTATTATTATTATTATTATTATTATTATTATTATTATTATTATTATTATTAGCTTTATTCAATATTATATTTTTGGTACAATATAGAATTCTCAGCACAAAGTATTTCAACAAGTTTCCGTTTCTTTCTTCTTGGTCGGTCCTGGCGATAAGTATTGAGTGATCTCCAGTTAGGTGTTAGCAGTTCAGTAAATGAACATCTGAATAATGTGCATTCTTTTCGTTGTATATTGCCAGCAACTACATTGTCTCTTATTGAGTTTTTTGTAACTTTGACAACGAAAGGTTGTACACTTTTCAGAAACGCAGCAGAAAAGGTTGTGCGATTAATAAACATAATGATATATTAAAACAAACAAAAATAGATAACTTGTTGAAATATTTAGATGGCAGGAACAGGTAGCCCAGATGCTCAAGCAGGCCGCCCATCATCAGCCCTATGATCTCTTATTCTTTTGCCAAATTCCATTTATGATTTTTTAAAATTCATAACCAATCAGATTGTGAACGATATTTTGATTTATGAAAATTCACGATTGATGTTGGTCTGTATTAAGACTGTAAAAACTAATATACATAACTATTAAACCATAAAACTGTAATCTATCGAAACTTAATGTAACCAGGGATTGATCGGGAAATACATGGCTGGTTGGTCTTATGTACAATGGTAAATAAAAGTAAGAAAATTTTGACGGCAAGAATATAGTACAGGGACGAAGTTAAAAAAACTACGACAACTTTTAGCTAGGTGTCTTAGAAAGTCTTAGAAAGTGGCTATTGTAAACGTGTAGGATGTTCTCTTTTAGGGTTAGGATTAATTGTTCATGGTTGAGATTAGTGGTTAGGATTGAGGATTTAAATTTGAAATTAATGAGTTTAAGTTCAGGGGTTTATTGTTAAGGGGTATAACTAAAAATTTAGGACTAGGGTCTGGGTTAGTTTCGACGCTACTTGTTCAAACATTGGTTAATTCATGTGTTTTATACAATCTACGTTAAAAAAAACTGAGGACTGGGTACATTTAATACTTTCATTTTCCATCATTAATGAAAAAAAGTTTTATATCATTTTAAATTTTTTAAGCACTATGCAAGGCTTCTCGTTTTATCTAATGTACGATAAAAGTCCACTAAGACTCAACTGTCGTTGTCTCGATTCTGATATTCTCGTCTTTATACTATACTTTTACCCATGTAAATGACTGCATTTCAAACTATCAACCCTTAAATAACGTACATCCTAATCATTAGGACAAGGTTATATGATAAAATTTTGTAATGCATTTTTTTCGTAGATACTTAAAATTTTAGATATATTATTATGAAACAGTAGTTGTAATTTTTTCACCATATAGACTGATATGTTCATATTAATTCTAAGAAAGCATATGACTGTGTAGTAAACTTTGTTGACCTTGTGACATTTAGTAAACCAACTTCATGTCATAAATTAATTGAGCCTATTCAGTTTAAGTTTGATAAGAATCTGATTAATTATCAATATGTAATGAATCTCTAAAATTCAATGTATTTTGTATAGTCTGAACTATCTATGTTTTGGCGGTCTAATAAATCACTATGTTTTCACATTTAAAATGCCTTTGCATCAAACCTTATATTGTTTGTCTATGATTTCGAATTGTATGCTGCTTATTGATACACACTAATTGTTTGCAGTCACATCCAAATTCACGTTTATAAATTGTAAATGGGTAATGATTATTGATTAACTGGTTCTGTGATACGGTTACAGAAAAATTAGGATTTTTGTGTATTTGCGAATAAAATTTCCTTAATGGTATGGTATATAGAAGTAATCTTGGGCGATTCTTAAAGCCAACTTTTATCCAATGAATAAAGACTACAAAAATTCATAGTATTTAGTTACTGAAGTACTGAGATCACTAAGATTTTGGTGATTGTAGCACGTTTATAATTTTTTAAATATATCACTAAATAACCTAATCGTTTTAAGTACAAAATTTATTCACATTAAAGGCTTTTTTGTATTTTCTGATAATTATAAAACAGTTTTAATCGTCTACAAAAATTTTATTGACTAATTCGTTTGAGAGTTAGGGCGATCAAGTTATAAGGCAGCAGTATGAGAAAGTTGTATTTAAAAATTGTTAATAATTTTAGCATTCCTACATCCATGTTCATCGATTCATATGGTGGACTAGTAGTAAAATTATTTCCTTACAAGTTTATTGTCGACAGATTAGATTTTTAAAAACTTATGAACCTAAAAACGTGAACTCTTCATACACTTATTTATTTATATTCTACACTGATAAAAATTACATTGTCTAACCATTTTCAAAATTGCTAACCATTTTTACATCACAGCACACATCATGAACTGATTTCAGCTAGACCACTGTTGAAAACCAGGGAGCAGTAGACGACCATTTCATACTAGGGTTGAACTCCTCAAGAGTGCGCATTCACAACCCTGCAAGAACGAATCGAAACCAGGACATACGATCTCGTGCGCAAACGCTTAACCTATAGAATACTGCGCCGGTATCCAACAGTAGTGATGTCTATTTTCAGTCAGTTCACGATATTACACAATCCTCACCCAGTGCGTGTGGTGGATGACTATCTCTTATCCGACAATTATAATAACCATGTGCTCACTTGCAACATACTGCTGGAAAGTCCCATACCAGGCGGAAACGGCCATCTGGGGCTTTCAGGTTTTAGATAGTGGTCTAACCAAGACTGTATTTGAATTGCAAAAGTTTTATAATCCTCATAAATCCTCTTTATTAGTAATTTTATACCAATCTTTTTATTACTATCTTTTGCGTGATCAACAATAAATTCCTTTCACTTATAAATCTCTGAAGAATCTGACTACCCTGTTTCCATAAAAAAAACTAAAATTTCTAACTAATAACGAAGTTAGAGAGTGGTCAAAGTGTTTTTATAAAATAGATGTTATTTTTACAAGAAAATGATAATAGAGGAAATATAGTGTATTTAATTGTAAAGTTTCTGCTTTTGTAGGAAATATTACAATAACTTAGTTTGCTATCTCGTTAGTTTTCTTTTTGAGAGTTGTAGTAGCTCAAAATTACTTTTTATTGCTCATGAGGATCCATTATTTATCAAGAAAAAAAACTGATATTATAATAAGTGTTGTGATTAAAGGATTTTTAAATTACTAAATTAATGTTTCAAAATTATTCACGGTGACAGCAGTGTCTAATGATTCAAACTATGATAACTGTTTTAAATATGTTTCCCATGTCATATTTCTAATATAAGTATTAATATATATAATATTTTTAAGTTGACTATAAGCTCTCTTGTTTATACATTGTTTTATTAGCTTATATTTTTACGAAACTATCGGGTCAGTTTGGCTGAACGTATTATACCCGCAACAGATTTATCTGAACAAATTCCATGTGTTGGAACAGAAGCATCAGGAACAGGGAATATGAAGTTTATGGTAAATTCTAGGTGAAAAACATTGGTTATAAAGTTTTATATTTAATTTTTATGTTTCAGTAACGTACGTTTTGGTTTTTAAAATTTTATCTTATATGCTTTGGTTTTATTTGATTAGTGATAGAACTCAGGGTATATGTTTCCATTGTATTTGGTATTACTCAGTTGATTTTACGTGCAGTACTTCACCTTTCGAATGGTTCATATCTCTTCAGCAACTGATCATTTTATATATGAGAGCCAAGAACAGGAATGTACATACCCTTACGACAAAAACAGAAGGGTTTTCAATGTACGTGAATTTGATCGGTTTCATAAATTTAAATGAAACAAAAGTGGCGAAATTTTCAGAAAATAATCAATTTATTGTATTTTCACGTATTCATCTCATCTGCATGTGAACTAATAAATATCCTAAAAATGTAGAAGAAAAGGTTTAACGGATTCGATTTTAATTATAGTTCAAAGAAGATAAGAAGCCATTCACGTTGCTTAATTGTTTTTGCTTCGTTAAATAAAGATTAACCTAACGACCGGACATTATAACTTGTAAAGTTAGAGAATGCAATTAACTGAAAATAATTTGTCTCACTGTACAGACTTTGTAATTTACACTTTATTTACATTTGTAAAAGCAAATGGTTGTCCTGAATAATTCAAAATAAATGAATTCCTTTAAAAGAAATTTCCACCCATAGTCTACAAATTATCGAATGGGATTATGAGAATTCTATTTTACTGCGTTAACTTTCTAGATTCTTTAGAACTCATAAGCTACCTCTCTATCTTCTAAGTATTTGTCAAATCACATTGTTTTATATAGAATCGTCAACAAAAAACAGCCAACGGTCTTTTAGAAATTGATAATTGGTTTGTTCATTTCGTTGGAAACCTTAACGCTCTATATTGATTAGAATTTATCGATTAGCTGCATCATATACAGCCCCAAATAGATAAAATAAAGGCATAATACTTATCAGGTCCTTAATGAAAGATAAAATACTGAATTTTTTAACACTTCAATCAAATTATCTAACAAGGTGTTTGGAGTTCAATCTGAAGAATTGTATTGTGTCACAACCTTGAAATTCCTTACCAGGATAATTAATACAGAAGCCCAACTAAAAATGTTTCTTAACTAACTCTCTATTATCAGGTCGATAAATAAAGAGACCGTGCGGCTAGTTCATGTTAAACTTGATTGATAACAGTGTTCAGTTTCATAACACACATATTCTTCAGTTCAAAACCATGACAAAAGATAATTGCTATGTCATACTAAGAATTTGAAATAATAACACCACTGTGTGATGATGATGATTTGATTTGATTATACACAGAAGTTAATATTGATTCTGTTGTAGTACATTTGAATTCAAAGATAACACTTCACACATGGACAAAACTGAGACATTAGGTAGTGGAGTAAGTGAATAACTACAAAGGTTACTACAGAAGAATTTCATCGATTAAATGATTTACGACAATCTTAAAGGATGGACCTTAAGTATCCTATTTATATGTAGCATAGCCAAAGTGGACAAACTAATTACCTCTATGATAAACAACCAACAGACTTGGGTCGACTTGCAAAACGTCCACTTTCAGTGAATAAAAGATGTCTCTCGAGTTTGCTTAATTGGTTGACTTACTAAATATCGCTTCAAACAACTTATATTTCCTTACGAATTTTACTAAAACTTTTAAAGACAAACTGTTCTTTAGCATCTCTTTAATTTTCATTCGGTTTGTTTAAAGTATTGGAAAAAAGATGATAAACCAATACAACGCTGGAAAAATCTTTGACTCATTAGATAAATTATGACCTTAAATTTAAACCGTACACGTCACTATGGAGGGAGTAAGTTAACCAGTATTTGGTGTAAGTTAAATGGCAAATCAGATTTGATTGCGATATATATAGTTAGTGAAAATGTGATTTAAATTGTATGATTATAAGGATAAGTTTATTAGAATTACGTTTTAAATCAATGGATTACATTTGGGATAGTTTGATCATATGGCAAACTGTTAAGACGTGAAAAATGAAGGGTCATAATAGACAAACGGGAATTTAAAAACAACATGAACAATAAATCAAACCATGAATCCCTGTGGACAGATGTAAATTGAGATAAATGGGTGTCGAATGCTCTCCTGATTTTCAATGATTATCCAGATGACATCTCTGTATAGTGAAAAGTATTATTGAAATAATGATTTAGTGACACAGTAACACTGGATACTTGTTTATTCAGTAAAATTCACATAACACATCGTTCAATATACTGAAATAGTAAAATGAACAAATAAATATTAGGTAGGTTAGAATTATGTTATGTTATAACTTCTAATTTCATTTAATCGATACAGAATTATTAATCTCATGAACCGATTTCACTGAAACAAGTTGACTTTGAGGCGCAAAATTACTAGTGTTTAAAGAATAGTTTTTCCAGTAGTACGCTAATTGTTTAGCTATACATTTCCATCAGTTTTCTTGTCTTTGGTATATATATATATATATATATATATATATATATATATATATATATATAAAACAGCATTTTACTACCACATAGTAGATGGAATCCGGAACCTTCAGCTCTCGCTCTCTAGCGGTTGACCATTAGATTCTTCGATTTTTCTTTTTAAAGTAGTGTTAAACTAAGCCTTCTAGTGCACGTTTTTATGTCTCCATAGCTTCTTCATTCTCAGTGTTCTCTTGCTTTTTCGTATTACTAATTGCTCATCCATTTTTTTGTTTCACATTTTTAACTAGTTGAACGGTGCATTAACTATTGGAACCATGGATGGATCAAATATTGAAATATTTCAAGAAGTTGGTCACTCAAATGCATTTGTCTTTGGTCGTACTATTGAAGAAGTCAATTATTTGCGGAAAACAGGGCAAGTCAATGAAACTATAAATCTTACCTTTTTTAGTAAAGACCTTTTATTAGTAATCAGAAGAATTAAATTATAAGGAAAAATTATCATTTAATACGCGTTCAAGTTAATAGAATAGACTTGACATACACTTTTGAGATGGTGGAGATTTTTAGCTCAACTGGATGATTTAGGTGTAGTTTTGTTCTCTGTACTAGATGGGTTTGGTCGTGGAGATTTCACTGTTATTCTGAACAACATCATCAGCACAAACATAAGATAAAAGTGAATTATTCGAATTTCTATCCAATCTATCGATCAATCAGAAAAATCATGGACAAACATATGACCAAGAAACAAATCAGAGGGAAATACAATCAAAAAACAACAGTAACTAATCAAGGTCGAGGTCGACATGACAAGCTGTGAGTCATATGTAGAGAAATTCGAACACTATGTAGTAAGCCCATCTAACTTTTATTATTTGTCAGCTTGCTGTAATTTAGATATTTAATCCACTATGTAAAATCACTTGTGAGTTTGATTGAACGCATGTCTGCACATCAATACTTATCTATTCGCAGAATGGGTTTTGTGGAGAATTTTAGAAATTTCACAGGTTGAAATCATGAATCAGTTGAAGCTAGATCACCATTGAAAACCTGGAAGCACTGGACGGCCGTTACCAGTGGAGTTCAACCGGTCTGTTGTGAGATAACAACTCACTGAAGACAATGGTGTACGGTGGCGCAACTTCATGGATTAGTTGAAGTTAGACATTAACACCGTTGGATGCCGGCTCAGTGGTCTGGTGGTTAAGTGCTCGCGCGCGAAGCCAGTAGGTCCTGGGTTCGAGCCCCGCGTGGTGCGGGATCGTGGATGCGCACTGCTGAGGAGTCCCATACCAGGACGAAACGGTCGTCCAGTGCTTCCAGGTTTTCAATGGTGGTCTAGCTTCAACTGACTCATGATTTCAACCTGTGAGACATATCTATTCTCTCATTGATTGTAAACACAAACAATCAATAATTTGTCCACAATCGATTAAGACTCAGAAATATATATGGATTTTTAACACTCACCCTCACTGGTTTCCCTGTGTGCTTGCTCTCTGCGCGCTTGCGTGTTTTTACCAATAATTAACAATAAACTATCTCTACAATGGGTGCTCAGGCTTTTGAATAATCTTAAATAAATTCATAGTACTACTAGGAGATTTAGTCTGTGTAAATACTCAGTTAACGGGATTGTGTTTATTGGAGTCAGCTATAGAGATATTAGCCTTTAAAACCTGATTTCTACCTGATTTCGATGCTGATGATGTTTTTCAGAATAACAGTGAAAGCTCCGCGACCAAACCATCAAGCTCAGAGAAAACTCCGCTTAAACTTACCCTTTTGTACACGAAGCTCCAGTTTTTAATCATTATCGCTAAAAATTCAGTCGTTAAAAAGACTGAACTTCATAACTAAGATCACTGTTAACTATTGAGAAATCAGGATAATAAGGTGAAATTAACAGGCTTCATCTCAAAGTGATAGAAGTTTCAGTGACATCAGTGTGATAAAAAAAGATTAGAAATGAAGAATATTGTTTGATAGGAAGTTTTAAAATGTGGAAATCATAAACACTAAGCAATATTGAAACTCAAAATCTTAGGGTATATAAGTAATTAATGCATTCACAGAATAGATTTCGAGCCATGACGCTCAACATTTCTTAGTTGTTGATCACGATTATTAGTCATAATTGCTCACTGGAAATCACACATATGAATTTCTAAGAAGCCTTGTGTTGGTAGAATAATCTTAAAATTAAAATATTTCCCATTCAGTACAATTTGTAATTCAAATTTAAGATCATAAAGTATGAAGAAGTGCATTTCCATCCAACAGTTTCGTAATAATTGATAATTATTATTTCCTATTTTATATGGAAATCGGATTTATATAAAATGAATGGGGGATTTGTGAAGATTGTAGAATTTCCACATTTTGAATACCAAAATGACTAGCTTCAAGATGTGATTTCTGGAGTGCCTGTGTGAAGCCATAACCAATAGAATTCAACCCGCTTTTTATGTGACAAATTTACTACCTCAGGAAATGGATGTGAGTTACTCAATATCGTGGATTGATTGAAATTAGACATTAACACTGTTGAATTCTGGCTCAGTAGTCCAGAGGTTAAGAGTTCACACTCTAGACCGTGGGTCCAGTTTTCAATCCTTAGATTTGGTGTGTTAGATGCGCACTACTGAGAAGTTCCGTACTAGGACAAGGTGTTCGTTCAGCGCTTTCAGGATTTCAGTGAGGGTCTAGCTTAGATCAGTTTTTGATTCAAACTGTGATAGTATAAGATGATTTGTTTTTCATTATACTCTTAATTCTTACAGTTTTTATTATCTGATTAATTAGATTACAAACACAAAATGCATTTTTCCACTTTCGGAAGTTTCGTGAAATACTATCTGTTGAATAATTAGTCAAGTGAAATCTATCATTATATTCGTGGCTTAATGTGCAAGCATATGATGATTAATGATAATCAATAACTTTTGAATCGAAAACCATTGTTAAATATCACTATAATAACTACCATTTTAAATCAAGACTAGATTTTCTAACCTTATATAGCTCACATATTACGTACGCCTTTTATCCATCGTGAAGGAAAATAGGCCAACCACCAGCATTCTCAATCCAACCTTGTCTTGGACAATTCTTTCCAGTTGCTATTCATTCTTTTAATGTCTGCTTCCGATTTCCAATACACCGTTTTCTGGCCTTCTTTTCCGTTTCCCTTCAGGGTTCCAAGTTAGAGATCGCCTCGTAATGCACTTTGATAATTATCGAAATATGCTTCCTATCCATCTCTATCATCTTTTCCTAATCCCCTACTGAGTTGGAAGCTGGTTTGTTTACTGCCATAATAGGGTGTTGCTGATGGTATCCGACCAACGGACATTCAGTATCTTATGTAGACAATTGTTTGAAAATACTTGTACCATTTTGATGATGGTTGTGGTACTTCACGAGGTTTCAGTTCAGTACAGTAAAACTGTCTTGACGTTCGTATTGAAGATTGTGACTTTGATTTTCACTGACAGTTGGTTTGAGTTCCACATGTTCAAGTGTAGGAATGCTGCCCCTACTTTGCCAATCCTTGCCTTTATATCTGCATCGGATCCTCCATGTTCATCGATGATACTGCTGTCCATGTACGCGAAAGTTTCCACCTGATCCGGAGTTTCTCCATTAAGTGTGATTGGGTTGGCGTTCAACGTGTTGTGTTTGAGGATGTTGCTTTTTCCCTCGTGTATGTCGAGTCCTACTGATTCAGAGGCTGTTGCTGCTACTACTTTGGATTACGTGCTAATAACTAACGTCTCGGACTAATGCCATTTGTTTTATTGGTAAATTTCGATGGCCATAAATCGGCAAAATCCTTAAATCTAAGAAAAGTAATTTGAAACACAGAATAGTAACCTAGAAATAATATTACAAGCATCAATAACTACATTTGGTAGAAAACGAAAGAAAAAATTCGTTTTAACAAAAACTGTAATTAATATTGTTTCAATTCAGTAGTTGTGTTTCGATAGTTCAGTATGCATAGAAATACATTAAGCACATTAATATTTCCTAATTCTTTTTATTCATATTCTATAAAACCGTTTATGATAAGCAGTTGGACGTAGTCGAGAAGACACTCTAGACCTAGTTTTTGAGCTAGTAGTAACTTATCAGCAAGAGTTACTTGAAGTATCAAGTGAACTGGTTGCACTCAAGCTGTTCATTGTATATGGTGCTTCATCTGAGATGTGGAAGTCTTCACAATCTAGTCAACTATCAAAAGAGAGAGAAAGAAGGAAATACATTAATCTGTCTTCTCTGACACCGGTCCTCTGATTAACTATATTTTTTGTCAGTTTCTTCGTTGTGTTATATAGTTGTTTGATATTTCTTTGTTTTGCATCATTTTCCTGTGTCGCTGTTAGGTCTTTCACGTGTTAATGCTTGTCATCTCTAATGCTCCTCTTGACTCTCTTGTTTGCTTCAGCGTATTCAGCTAGTGCCTTGACTTGCTCTGTTCTTATCTTATCGTTGTTAGTTGCTATCTTCTTGTTCTCCCTTTCTTGAATACTGTTCAGAATTTCGGTAGGGATCCATTCCTTATGATGATGGTTGTTGTGTTCCAGAACCTCATGAAACTCTGAGGTTAGTGTTTCATTGATCCCTTTCCACTTGTCCTCCATAGTAGTTTCCTCTTTGAGTAGATCTTGTAAAGTCTGAAACGTGTCTTGAATGTTAGATCCCCAGAACTCACCTGGTAAATGTCCTATTTTCGCAATTTTATTTTGGAAATTTGAATTTCCTGTTTTCGTACCAAAAGCGCCCATTTTCACCTTCATGTCGTACTTCCCACTTGAGTGATCCTTAAATGTCATTGACTCGTCTCTTTTAATATGCTATTTTGTAACTTTTCCGACAAACCTTTTATGCTGTGTTTATACGCTTGCATTTGCTTGTGGTCGTCGTTCGTGCTTTTGACTGTTTGTGGAATAAATTTCCATTTTCTGAACCTCTAGTTAGCGGGGCTTGTACGCATCGGAATGGTTAGTTTAATTGGTCATTATGTCACTGAGTCTTCGTTCCGTTCGCTGATAATGTGAGCTCATAATCTCTTCAAACATAGCGATGTTGTTGAGAGTTATCTTGAATTCGTCTAGTTTGTCAGTATGTCGAAGGAACGCTGTATTGTACATTTGTAATTCTGTTCCATCAGTTATCCAGTGTTTCTTTAGTTTCAGTTTCATCTTGGCAACCACCGGTTGGTGGTGATCTGAAGTTATGTAATCTGCTTTCCTGGTTCTCACGTCTTGCATTGACCTTCTGAATTTTTTCACATATACACACTATCAATGTATGGTGAAACAATTATTCATTGACTGTAGTTCTTGAGTCAGAAATACAAATCATATAACGTTCGTCGTTTGGTAGGTTTTTGTCTATCTTGCAGGTACATTATGTGCTCGGGTAGTTAAGAACTGTAAGTGTTATTTTCTGATAGAAAAAAGAACAAGATTAAAAGTGAGCGGACGAGTCATCTTACTTCAGTACTTACAATGAACTCTGGTGCTTGAATATGACTATTTCTTAAACTTGAGCCTTAATTGTATTTTCTACATGCGTAATCTTGTTTTATAGATAATCATTTACGACTCGGATGTTCTCTGTTTAGTTCAATGTTGAACGATTTGCATTACAGTCTCTGTACCTTGCTATAGACCACTGTTTTTTTATTATTACTTTCTTCCAATCATTTATTGCTCATTCTCAAGTTAACGTCGCATTATATTCTGACGTAACTTATCGGTTTTAAGTTGTTCTAATCCTTTAACCACAAAATATTATCACCTTAGATTTTTATTATAATATTAGACTGTTTGCGTTTTTCTCAACACTTTATTAGATATAACCCAATGAGATATGTATCTTCCAATCCAGAACTTCGTTTGTGCTTAGATCAAATACGTGATGGTTATTACTGTCCAAATGAACCTGATTTATTTAAAGATCTATATAATAAGCTAGTTACAGAAGATAAATTTATGGTATGCGCAGATTATGGTGATTATATGCGTGCTCAGGCTGAAGTTGAATCAGCATACAAGGTAGGATTAATTTAAATTCTCTCCTTATTAAACAGATTACAATAATTTTCCTTAAAAATAATAATAATAATAGTTTATGATATCCCAATGCTTAATTTATTTAAAACTATCAAGTGCACACTTGGTTTTTAATACCTATAAACTAATTGATTTCTTTAATTCTGTTTTGTCTTGATAACATACTTCATGCATAGAACTTAATTCATCTTTTATATTTGTAAATGTAGTTTTTATTATTATTATTATTATTATCATCAGCTTTATTCAATATTATATTTTTGGTACAATATAGAATTCTCAGCGTAAAGTATTTCAACAAGTTTCCGTTTCTTTCTTCCTGGTCGGTCCTGGAGATAAATATTGAGTGATCGCCAGTTAGATGTTAGCAGTTCACTGAATGAACATCTGAATAATGTGCATTATTTTCGTTGTATATTGCCAGCAACCACATTGTCTCTTATTGAATTTTTTGTAACTTTGACAACGAAAGGTTGTACACTTTTCAGAAACGCAGCAGAATAGGTCATGCGATTAATAAACATAATGATATATTAAAGCAAACAAAAATAGATAACTTGTTGAAATATCTAGATGGCAGGAGCAGGTAGCCCAGATGTCCAAGCAGGCCGCCCTTTGTGAACCACTTCAGTACGCTCAGCATGTTTACAAACGTGAAATATATAACAATTATAATTCAGTGCATACAATATACGAAAAAGCGTTGTAACAGATTTATTTATGAACATTTAGTTTTGTTCTTTGAGAGAGGACTCCTCACCATACATTTATTCAAATTCAACGATACAGCGGTTAAATTATACTAAGTAATTGTAGTAATTTCTTTTTAATTAAGATTTAATTGAAAATTAATATAATGAAATCCTTTTTATTTTGAAAAATAAAACTATTAAATTATTTATATTGATTTGTTGGTGGTGGTTTGTTGTTTGTTAGGATGAAGTAAAATGGTCAAAAATGGTTCTAATGAATATAGCTGCAGCTGGAAAATTTTCCTCTGATCGTACAGTACGTGAATATGCACGTGATATTTGGAGAGTAGATCCAGTTATTGTAAAAGAATCTATAAAATGTAATTCAGAAAATAATAACAATCTAAGATTTTGTTCCAATAATTAAAGTAAGAAGGTTGAATGATAAAGAGAACAATAGACGAGTACAATTATTACTTTCTTTTTTTCTTTCTATACTAATATTTCCTATAGTTTTATTTGTATAATCAATACACTTTTTCTTTGTTTATTTGTTTGTTCTTATTTTTTTAGGTTAATTTGTTTTTATTACAAAAAATGTTTGTTATAAAAAATTTGTTTGTTTTTTTTAAATGAAAAACTTTTCTTTTTTTAAAGAAAAAAAAATAATTGAAAAAAAAAATTCACCCAGTTAGTGATGTGCAATTATTTTTAGAAAGATTATTTCTAGAACTACATTTTGTCTATATTTTAAACTCAACTCATTTATACATTGATTATTGACTAATATTATTTTGTTTAAACAAAACCCTGTTTTAAAAAGAAAAATTATATATAGAATGTTTCACTTGGTTAATGAAATTTCAGTGATTGTTTTATACATTATGGTTATGTTATCAAATTTAATTGTTATCTGAGTTGAATATGATTGGATTTGTTTCTTGTTTTGTTTTTGATATTATGAGTTTTATTGTTATGGGGTAAATTAAATTTCATAGACTTTCTCTCTCTCTCATATGAGCTAAATCGTGTATTTAAATATTGATAAATGTAAATTGATTGTTTTATTTTGTTTTAAATGAATTTTTTTTTGGAAACAGATGAGTCGAATGAATGATTAAATGGTTGCCTTAGTGATTTAGTTGTTTAATTTTGATTACAGATTTTTTTTTCTTTTTATGCATTGTGTATTATGAATCTTTTTACTTATAGAGGAAAATATATCTGATTAACTTTTTAATTTGACTTCATTTATAAATTTTAATGTATTTCAAAAGCGAATCATTAACTTAACTGAACTAACCGCAAATCATTTTATCAATTTAGATCGACACTGCTTATTGACTTTTAATGTAAATTTTATATGATTATCATTGTTTTTCGAAGTGTGTATTGAAAATGCCACAACAATCATTTTCATGAGATAGATATACCGTAACTTCTTAGTTTTATTCTATCTTAGCTATTATTTTACCGACAGGTTACTTTCTATTTAATTGTCAATGATGTATTCATTTAATTTAACAAATTGTATTTTTTTAAAAGGAAAATTAGTTTGTATATAGTAAAGGAGAAGATAATATGATACAATAAATTCTGCAAATTCTTGAAGTTTTATTCTTGTTTCATTGAAACATTACGATGTTTCATGTAGTTTACCCATCCTATTGTGCTTTCAATAGACCCACACTATTCAGAACAGATATCTGATTGCGAATTCTTTGTTACACAATATGAAATAAATATTTCGAAGATTATTATTTAAGATATTATGATATTCAAAAGATATTATGTAAAGTGTATGTTGCTTTGGTGTATGAATTCTGTTCATACTTTTATGTAGTTACATCATTAATTAATAGATGGATTATCGAGTGGTCACTTTTTCATTCATTCCAATCATTTATATCTCATTGAGGCTTCATATTAACGTTTTTAAAGTTAGTCAAATATAACCGAATATGCATAACAGACAATAACGATTTCCTAGAAATCTTGTATTTATTAAATTATAGTTCATCGGGATTTGAAGCGTTTAAAATCCCAAGACCCAACAAAATAATAACCGAATGCAAAAAAAAACTTTTGATGTACGATAATTTTTCACTGAAATAAAAAGGTTTTCAGCTTTCTTATAAAAGATGAAATCATGCGGAACGCCGGGGAAGTCTTACTTACTCTTACTCCTGTTACTTCCGATGGGGAATAGGCCGCTGACCAGCATTTTCCAACCCATTCCTGGACCCTCCTTTCTAGTTCTATCCAATTCTCCTCATATCTGTCTCCATTTTTCGGCGTAATGTGTTCTTTGGTCTTCCTCTTTTCCTTTGGCTTTGAGGATTCCAAGTGAGGGCTTGCCTTGTGGCGCGGGCGGGGGTGGGAGTCAGTATCCATTTATTAAATCACATAAATAGGTTGAAGAAAAATAAGATATGTTGGTTCTCTATAGAAGAAATAATTTTCCAGACCTGTATTCACCTTGAAGATTCTCAAGGTTATCCTAATGATAGACTGTGGTGTTTGAATTAACTAATGATTCTTTTGTACTTGTTGAATGCTCGATTTCGAATTCTAAATACAGTACATTCGTTGTGCCTGTGTCTTCTTAATTCAATTGCGTTAATCCTGGGATTCCTAGTTCATACGATAATTAGAATACTATATTGGCGTCGCGATGGAGCCTGCAATGGAAAAGTTAGATATTCATTCAACTTCAGAAGCTTTTGAAGATTACTTTGAAAGGTTCGAAATCTGGGCTATGACCAAGGAAGATGATGAGGATGTTAATATTGTGGCACACTTCCTCACATTCATTGGAAAAGAAGCATACAGCTTATTAAGAACTCTGGCTATGCCGGAAAAACCCATTTCGCTTTCTTATACAGCTCTCAAGGATCTACTGCTAGACTATGCTCAGTATACAAATTTCAAATGTCGTAAAGGAGGAAGATTTCGTAAAATGATTCATGAGGATATAAAAAAGTCCACTACATTACTACGTCATCTCAACCTAGTGCATACTCAAGGTTATGCAGACAATTCATTGAATTTGGATGCAGTTCACGAGGATGGGGACAAGTTTGGTCAGTGTTTGTCCTGTTGCAAGTTCCACTCTTCTAATTCATGTAAATTTCGTAATTCTAAGTGCTTCAAATGTCGTGATATTGGACAAGTTCAGTCAGTTTGTAATGCTAATGTTCATCTTACTGCAACTAATATTAAGTCTTGTAATTCTGATTCTACTGAGTCGAGTATTCATGATGATCATTTATCTTTATCAACGATTTCAAAAGACAGTGCAGAGTCATATGGCAGTTCAGAGTTAAATGAACTCCAGAATTCTTGTGAGACAACATTTCCTAATCAACCGATTTATCAGAATTCTCATGCTATTGTACCAAGTATGACTTTTCCTAATGATTCACATATTTCTAATGAAATTACTTGCAATTCTGAGGAAAATATGTTAAATGAACCTAATCATGATCGAAAACCTGATGTGGTTTGGATAGATGCTGATTTTTCTAACGATCCTACGCTCTGCAACGACAGTCCTGATGAATTTCATGAGAATATTTCAGAAGAATCAAATCCTGATGTCATATCATATATTACCTATCCTCATAATGTATTTGATCTTCGTGAAAAACCTGCCCAATGCGAAGCACGAGTACTAAGTGACCTCGAGTTTTATTATATTTCGGATGATTTCATATCAACTGCTGTTTACTCTTATCACAAAAACAGTTCTAATGTTTACTCTATACAATGTGAGATATATGTTTTAAATGAAGCCACATTATTCATAACTTGGGAGTATAAAGATCCAACATTATTTCGTGGGGGGGGATAGTGTTGAAAAATCTATGGCTCGAATTCTAGATATTAATGATTTCATTACAAAACCGACATGCTGGTTGTATACAATTCCAGGTGAGTCTGTTCCGATTTCGTTTGTTAATTCCAATACTAATGAGCACTTTCTAGATACTACAAAGTTTTTATCTTATACAATGTCGGACAGACTCAGGATGAACTTAACAAGAAGACGTACAACCGATTACAAACACTTATACTTCTATTTAAGCTGTGGCGGATGTGGTGTTTGAATTAACTAATGATTCTTTTGTACTTGTTGAATGCTCGATTTCGAATTCTAAATACAGTACATTCGTTGTGCCTGTGTCTTCTTAATTCAATTGCGTTAATCCTGGGATTCCTAATTCATACTATAATTAGAATACTATATAGACTTACAGGATTAAATGATATATTTGTAGTGTATTATGAATGCACTACTAAGTCATACTTGTATTCTTAGTCAGAAATATCTTTTACAAGATCACAGCTTTACTCAAGATAACTCATTGTGTGCTAAACTAATGTGATAATGGATAGCTCCTGAATTAAATAACTTATGTTGAAAAGCGGAGAAGTTGCTCGAGGGAAGAGCACAAATCACTATGACCAAAAAATAGTTTAAGTTTTTATATTGTTTTTGCCCTTCATAAAGATTGTATTTCTATTGTTAGTTGATTTGATAACTAACAAATGTTTTCCTCATTTGTTTGTAGTGAATAACATTATGTTGCGCTTTATAATTTAACTCCTTTCATATAATTATATTTGATAAGGTAGACAAATATTTTTATCATAGTGTGTTTCACTCAAAACTATCTGGCAACAAATACTTTGTATCATGTTTTCGTTATTGTTTCATTGAGCTACTACAACAGTCTGCGTTACACCAGTTAATTTTCTTCCAAACTTATTGCTACACTTGAATGACAATTTTTTAATGATGAGTTAATGGAAGTTACAGTCAATTTTGGTATTTTTCTTGAATCTATATGGATGACTCAATTCAACATGAAGTTCTTACTTACAAATGACTGCAAGATCAGTTGTTATTGTGAGGTGTTTGGCGATCCAGTGGATGTTTTTTTAATCTGTTATGCAGTCGGTCCTGGTAATGTTATCAAGAATGACAACGAAAGCTTGTAATTAAATCATTCAACTCAGTGGACACAAGGCTATTAAAAGACAAACATGGTATTTTTTTTTATTTAGTTTTTAATGCAGTCCTAGTTTCAATAGTTATCATTATCATTATCACTGAACAATTTTGTTAATAAGAATTTTCGGTGAGACTAATCTTTATGAACGAACCAATCAGATTTGGATGACAGGTCTCAGATTTTAGCGAGAAATTCATACACTTATTTGACTAAATACTATTTCGGAATTATAGCTGATGTCAATTCGTGATGAAAACCGTAAATCTAATTCCTAACCTTAACCATCAACTGTAAATCATAAATGTAATTCCGCACACTGTTTTATAGCCCTCATTTAGTCCTAATTATTAGGTGGGTATTCTCAAGGTCAGTTTAAGATTGCTCAAAGGTCGTTCATAAATTATATTCT